AGACTGCCGACGTTGGCAGGAAAACTTCTCGCATGGCATTGTTCGAAATATCTGCAATTGTGGCCAACGATCAGATTCAGTTCAGCTTCATGTACAACCGCTATTCGAAGAATCAAAAGGGTATTCGCAGGTGGATTGCCGAATGCCAACGCACTCTGGAGGAGATTGCCTCAGAGCTAGCCAAGCTAAACAAGCCTCAACCTACAATGGCAGATCTTCCTCTTTTGCCCTTGGAGTCTTACAGTCGCCTTGATCGGGTACTCAAGACACTACCCGATGTCGGCATCTCGTCGTTCGATCATGTGGAGAACATATATCCTTGTTCACCAATTCAAGACGGAATGATTCTCAGTCAAATTAGGGCTCCTGAGTCATACTGGTCTTCAACAGTCTTTGAAGTCAAGGCACGACGTGGACCGGTCGATGCCAAGAAGATCGTTGACGGATGGAGACAGGTTGTCGCTCGCCATCCAGCTTTGCGCACTGTTTTCATCGACAGCGTTTGTAAGGGCGGTGTGTTCGATCAGATTGTTCTCAAGAATCCAGACTCTGGAGTTGTCACTTGCACGTGCAGTGACGCAGAGTTGTCTGCGATGCTGCAGTCCATTAAGCACAGTTCGCTCAACGGAAAGAAGAAACCGGTTCTCCCGCACCAAGCCGCTGTTATTCAGACCACATCGGGAAGAGTCATTGTCAAACTCATCATCAACCATTCGGTGATTGACGGAGGATCTCTTGCAGTCATCGAAAACGACCTTCAGGAAGCATATGAAGGACGCCTGACCGGCGAAGGTCCACTCTACAGCGACTACATCAAATACCTTCGGGAGCTGTCTGCGGATGATGCCATTGGATACTGGAAAGGAAAACTTCGTGGCGTTAGTCCCTGCCATTTCCCTACTGCAACTCGAGACACAAGTAAACCACGACAACTGAAATCTTTCGATATGCGTTTCAGCCGTTTTGGCGAGCTCCATGGACTTGCGGAGGCCAGTAACGTCACATTTGCCAATTTATTCTTGACAGCCTGGGCATTGGTGCTTCGTTCTTATACCAAATCCTCCGACGTTTGCTACGGTTATCTCACTTCTGGAAGGGACGTGCCTGTTCAAAACGTAGAGAGCGCGGTCGGAGCATTCTTGAATATGTTGGTTTCGCGTGTTGAGATCAACCAGTCTTCTCAATTTCTTCAAGTCGCGCAAAAGGTGCAGTCGGACTTCATTGACTCCACTCCGCACCAGCACTGCTCCCTCGCACAGTTTCAACACGATTTGGGGCTATCTGGAAAGGCTCTTTTCAACACTGCCATCTCGATCCAAAAACGAAGTGGTCTGGATGACGAAACGCCAAATACAGCCATTGAGTTCGAGCAGCTAGATGGTCATGATCCTAGCGAATTTGCCATCACGTTGAACATCGACGCAACGCGACACGATGAAGGTGTACGCTTTACTTACTGGGGCGATGTCGTCACTGATGCCGAGGTGAAGAACGTATCCTCTCTAATGTCGACTATCTTAGTGCAAGCCCTGCATGACTCCAAGCAAACAATCGGAGAGTTGGACGCTTTGCTGAATGGAAAGCCGGTGCATGCAAGCATAGCACACTTGGCACCACCGCCGTTACGTCCATCAATTCCTCGATCTGGGACAAGTGATTCCAGTTCTTCAGCGATCTCTCCACCGCAAACACCCCAAATCACCTTCCCAGATATCTCTGCAGTGGTTCCTACAACAACTGCCACACCAGATTGGACGAATCTCATTCGATCCATTGTCAGCGAGATGGTTCCTCAAATCGTCAATCAAATCGTCGCTCAAAATAAGTTACCGGCAGAAACTACATCGTCGACTATCGATCAAATGACCACTCAGATGACGGGTATGCTTAGTAGGAAAGCATCTACATCACACCGTGTTCGCGCGAGCCTCGACGGGCCGATGGTTCCCGCGGGTTCCATACGAGCCGAATCTATCCGTTCGCGTCGTTTGAGTCTTGTTAGCAATGCTGAGAGCAGAATACAGACGGCCGCTGACATGGTAGCTACCTTGGGTGCCTATGCTACAGAGGCATCACCCAAGGTGGCCCCTGATTTCGTCGAGAAGAAGCTTCTCAACTTGTGGAGTGAACTTCTGGAAATGGTTGAAGAGTCAATCGAACAAGACGCTAGCTTTTTCCAGCTAGGAGGGGATAGCATCATTGCTATGCGTCTGGTTGGTGCCGCAAGAGAAGAGGGTCTGTCCATGACTGTCGCAGATGTGTTCAAGAACCCCACTTTTGCGGACATGGCTCGCGTTGTACGTGTTGCAGGTGAAGTCATTGACGAAGTCATGTCACGAGCGGGGGGTGAATCAGTGATTGGTGATGGGGATGTTGGAGATCAATCCAAGCATCGACGTCACGGATCCCGTGGGCGGGCAGCATCTATCTGGAGCGACATGCAATCCATCGCATCCGAGCTCAGGAGTGACATGCAAGGCTTAACCCTCAATGAGCAGGCAGTTCTTGATGAGCCAGAGGTTACGAAGAACGACACAATGTTCAACAGATGGCAAGGCTTCTCAGCCCCCACTCAAGAACGACCGTCTACGCCACGCAAAGTTACATACAAGACGTCGCCAATACCACAAACCGTTCATGAAGGGGTAGAAAGCTCGAACATTAGATCTGTGTCTCTCCTCGGCGACCCGAATGTTGACAACGTCATCTCTAAGGTGCAGGTTTTCAAGGGTGGTATCTCAGATATCTTTCCCGTGACGGATTTCCAAGCTCTTGCTATTACTGGATCAATCATGGAGTCCAAATGGATGCTTAATTATTTCTACCTCGATGGACGAGGACCGCTGGACCTCCGCAAGCTCAAACAGGCTGCTTACCGTATGGTACAGGCCTTTGACATCTTGCGCACCGTTTTCGTTCCTTACGGCGATCGCTTCCTCCAAGTCGTTTTACGTAAACTCCAACCAGAGTTTATGTTTGAGCAGACTGACGACGATCTTGACACCTTCACCAGAGGCTTGCAGCAAAGGGATCGTGAGATGGGCCCTCGCGTGGGCGAAGCCTTTATTCAGTTTGTGGTCGCGAAGCAAAAGCAAACTGGATCTCACCGTATCTTCATGCGGTTGTCGCATGCCCAGTACGATGGCGTATGCATGTCAAAAATCCTTCTTGCACTCCAGGATGGTTACAATGGCCTTCCTGTCTCATCTGCTCCAAGTTTTGGCAACTTTGTTCGAGAAACAGCAAAGACAGTGAGTGGAGCCCACGATCACTGGAGAGAAGTACTTCGTGGATCCAAGATGACCGAGATTGTTAACCGCTTCGGTCCAAATTACCAACGCTCTGCCGGTCGCTCAATCACTCTAGAAAGGAGGGTCGACTCGCCCTCGCTCAAGCGTTTTGACATCACCAGCGCCACTGTTGCCAAGGCAGCTTGGGCATCGACTCTTGCATGTATCGCCAGCAAGTCCGACATCGTGTTTGGGCACGTCATCTCTGGTCGCAATGGAAGCGTTCCAAACATTGAGAATATCATCGGTCCTTGCTTGAACATGGTTCCCGTACGTGTCACGTACCGACCTGACTGGGCTGTCCTCGACCTGCTTCAAAACATACAAGATCAGCAGATATCTAATATGCCGTACGAGGCACTTGGTTTCCGCGAGATTACTCGCAACTGCACAGATTGGCCAGATTGGACTAACTTTTCAAGCATCCTGCAACACGACCAGGGTTCTCAGGTCAGTCACCAAAGTATGCAACTGGGAGGCGTAGAGTACACTGTCGGCGCGCTTGGATCTCAGGAAGACTTTGCAGATCTTTCCATTCACACCATCTCGCGCGCTAACAACGAGATGGAAGTCCGCCTAACATATGCCCCTAACAGCACCATCACTGCGGATTTCGCACAACACGTTTTTGAGATGCTTTGCGCCAACGTTATCGCCTTTTCCAACAGCCCTCGCGATATACTACCATCGCCTTCCGAATTCAGCTCTCAGAGCCCAACAACCATCAGTCCGGAGAAGATGCGCAAGAGGTCTGCAGAGAAACAGCCCATCTCGCTTCCAACAGACACTGGTCTCAATCTCCAAGAGACAAACAATGTCGCCGAAATACTACGCGCGGCATGGGAACAAATCCTCCACGACGAGAACGGACTACCCGCCCCCGTCGAGTTAAACTCCGACTTCTTCCAACTCGGTGGCGACATCATGGGCCTAGCGCAAGTTGCTTCCATACTCGACCAAGACGGCCTCAAGGTGCGCGTCGAGGATCTGCTTGACAAGTCCGTCTTCTTTGATCAAGTCGGCGTCGTTGCTGCGGAGCGGAAGAAGCAGATTGATCGTGATGCACAGAATCCTTGGGGCGATAAGGGTAGGCTGAGAGTTGAGGAGAAGCCTAAGGAACGCAGGGGTAGTGCGTTGGGGACGCTGGCCAAGAAATTTGGATTTAGTAGGAAGGAGACTTCTAAGGAACTTCCCAAGGCGCCGTGAGAGGCTCTTGAGGTGTAGTTGGTTATATCTTGGTCAGTTTTTGTTAAGAGTCCTTCGTTGATTGGGTTTGCTTGGATAATCGGTGTTTCTCTGTTTTCCTTTTAGCTTTGATGTCATGTCTTGCGACGCTTCTCTTTTCATGAGGTTTGGATCGGACTGGCGTTTATCTTCTTTGGGTTTGAATTTTGGGGTAGGAGTTTTGGCTACTTCTCCTCTTTTTTTTCTTTGATAGTATCAATTCAGCTGTTTAAAACATCTCCATGTTTCCATCTTTTGATACAGCTATGGGCTAAAGGTTCGCGACTCCTCAATGTTCACTCCCACGGCCCATACATTTTCATTGAGGCTTGCTGAAAGACACAACTTGCAAAAGAGTTCACATTCTTACTCGAATCATCATTCATTTACTCTAATCTCTCACTGAAAGACTAATTACACTGAACCATATCTGAAAGCCAAAAGTTGTGGTGTTGGATACTTGGCAAGCCTTACAAGATAAGATGTTTAGTCAACCTTGAGCTTCTGGGGCTCACGCTTGTCAACCTTAAGCTTCTGGGGCTCGCGTTTGTCGAGGGTAAGCTTTGGGGTCTCTGGTTCGCGTTTGTCAACCTTGAGCTTCTGGGGTTCGGGCTCGCGCTTGTCGACTTTGAGCTTCTGAGGCTCCCGCTTATCGACCTTGAGCTTCTGGGGTTCGGGCTCCCTCTTATCAACCTTGAGCTTCTGGGGTTCGGGCTCGCGCTTGTCAACCTTGAGCTTCTGTGGCTCACGCTTGTCGACCTTCAGCTTCTGAGGCTCGCGCTTATCGACCTTAAGCTTCTGGGGTTCCGCATTGCGGCCCATGAGTCCCTCAAGATGCGCAGGAGCATTGCCAGCTGTTTTGTTGTATTAGAACACAAAGATTCCTTTTATGCAGTGATTTGCACGAATCTATAACTAACCTGCGTTAATAGGGAAGGAGGCGGCCGAAGTGGCCATGAGGGCCACGGTCACGACATTGGAAAATCTCATTGTTGTGGTGGTCGATGTTCCTGGCTAAGACTGATGTCTGTTGCTGGATGCAAGATTGGCTTTTGTTGCTGAATGCGAGGCCGTGAATTCAATGATGGTGATGATGATATTGTTCAAACGGCTGGGTGGTGATACCTTATATACCTCGCTGGCGCCCCCATAACCATCAGGACTCTAGGAGCCTGTTGAATGCGTTGATGGCACAACAGCATCTTCCAGACAGTGTACAGCGGAGGTGTGCGCCCGGCCGTTTGCAAGATGCGGAGGAGGATGAGACTGTTGCCAGAATGCGGAGACGTTAGTGGGATGTGTTCCGAAAGTTTAACCAGGCCGATCTGTCTCCTCCGGTCTTGGCAACCTTGTTCGGTGCCCGTACCAAACACCGGCGATGATCAACCCCAATTGCCCTTGAAGGCCGCTTACGGTCAGTATGACTTTACCTTGGACGTAAATAAGTAACGAGTACAGTTCTATCGCTTAAAAGAGATGTTGGCGCGAATTTGGCCACAACAAAAAGAAACGACGACACAAGTTTGCACCAATGCAAGGAAGCTTTCCTCGACAGTCCATGTCCGTCGACATGACACAAGTGGACATGGAAATGCAGGCTGGTAGCTCAAGAAGCAGCACCATATTCGAGTGCTCTGAAGACCGCACTCCCTCCATTGGCATATGGAGACTGCTTGCGCTGACACTGCCTAACTTTGGGTGAGCAAATCCTCCCTTTACAAGCAACGGACACTACTGACACGGCTGGCCAGTATCCAAGTGCTATGGCTGATCATCATGTCGTATGGTACGCCATACATGACTGGACTCGGCATACCCAATTCCATCACGACGCTCGTGTGGATCTCAGGCCCATTCAGCGGTGCACTGATTCAACCGTTGTTCGCAGCCATGTCAGACAGCACTCAGCATCCATGGGGAAAGCGCAAGCCATATATTGCTGGCGGCGCCGTTTTTGTTGCCCTCTCACTGCTGGGTCTAGCCTATGCTGAAGATGTGTCCAACTGGCTTACGAGCACCTCGTCCTCACACAAGCACATGTATGCCTCAGGGCCGCCAAAGGCTAGCGCGCTGACGAAATTGCTGGTGACCTTTTGGGTGTGCGCACTAAACATCGCCATTCAGCCGCTACAAAATGGAGTACGCGCCTTCGTCGTCGACAGCTGTCCTGCCCACCAGCAAAGCACCGCAGCAGCATGGACTGCCCGTTTCAACGGCCTGGGCGCCGTGGCCATCTCAGCCTCTGCCTTTGCTGACGTTGAGTTGTGGGCGCCGATACTGGGTGAGACCAAATTCAAGGCGCTGTGCATGCTAGCAGTGCTGGCACTGGGCGCCGCCATCACACCAGCATGCTTTTTGGTACACGACAAGCCCAGCAGGGACATTGTCACGCGTCACGGAGCAGTGAGCCTGTTTGCGCGGCTGTGGACGCTATCTGGGAGCCTGCCACCAGTTACCAAGCAGGTCTGCAAGGTGCAGTTCTGCGCCTTCACAGCTTGGTTCTCGGTGCTCTACTACTCGACCACATACGTCTACCAGGTCTTTGTCATCGACCAGCACGTCCACCTCGACCCTGAAATTTTCGGTAGCGCAGACCCCCGCCTCGTCGATATGGGAAAACAAGCCGGAACTCGTGCCTCGTTTGTTTTTGCAAGTGTCACCTTCGCTTCGTCCCTGCTTCTACCACTCATCGCCCGCTATTCCGCACGCCAGCCAACTTCCGGCCATTCCATACCGACAGTTACAGTATTCAGTTTTTCACTTGGCCATGTCTGGTATCTTGCACATTGCTTGTTCGCAGCCTTGATGTTCCTGACTTGCTTCGTCTACACCGTACCTGCTGCCACTACCATTGTCGGCATGCTTGGTATTGCCTGGTCCGTCGCGTCATGGGCTCCATACGCACTCATCAGCACCGAAATTGCCACTCTCAAGGCTCAGGGCGAAGCAGGCCATGGATCAGCCGAGAAGGACATGGGAGCCACAGGGGCTTGGGCGGACGAGACCACAGCAGGTATCATGGCCATTCATAACATGGCCATCTCCTTACCCCAGATTGGTGCCGCCCTTGGGTGCACTGTGCTTTTCAAGCTCGTGGAGATGTCGAAGAGGGACGACACAGCTGCATTTGCTTTCAAATTTGCTGGTATTATGGCGATGGTGGCCGCATGGATGGGCAGAACTTTGAGATAACTCTTAGAACTCCCCTTGTAAATAATTGGGAGATACTAACTCTATGTCCACATTGTTTCATACGTAAAACTACTCACGGAAGGATATGTTTATATCGCTGATAGATGTTATAAATATTTTTAAACTTTTTTAACAACAACAAGAATGAAAACATGTCTGCGAGGAAATGCCGAACAGGGCAGGAATGATCTTCAAACGTACGTTATTTACGTAGTGATACATGGCTCAAATGGCTACTCGTTCTGAAACCCGTACTGCAATCTGCGTTGCTTTCATTCTTCGATGACTAGTCTGGCAACCTTTCATGGCATAACATGCCTTCTCCCCCCATCGTTGTTAAATTTCCCCGACACTTCGCATACCATGTCCATAGAATGCAGAAGATAACATCCAGAACGCCTTCTTATTTCGTGTTAGAGCGCTGACTATACTATTTCCCCATGATATGAACATGCGCTGAGTGATAGATGTTTTACTACATACTAAACATACATAGGCACGTAGCCACCGTACGCGCCAATACAACACGCCCCCATCAACACGCAGGATACGAAATCTCAACCCTCGTTATCACCGCATTTAAAGGCACCGACGTATTCGCCAAAGTATCTGAGCAATGCTCCGTATGATGATACGTCGCCAACGAACTCTCCATCTTCCAACCTCGCTCAATCGCACGGTGCATCATCTTCCAACCGTAGATGCAATGGTAAACGTGGAACCGGCGATCCGTCCACATGAGTTCTGTCGTCCGACTGATAGCTTCTAACGACGGGATCTGCACTCTTTCCTCGGGAAGCGCCTCGGGTCGCGTTGAGTTGCTCAGATAAAAGTTCCATGGTCCTTCCTCCATGAATTTAGTCGTTAGCTCGCCATCGTAGCACTCGAGTGGGAGCCACGACACAGTCATGAGATCAAAAACGCAGCCTGCGGCCTCGGCCTCCGCGGGAGATTTACCGCAGAGCTGCGCAGTGCCGGCTTTGTAGCCGGAGGGCGCTTTTAGGGATCCTGAGTGCCCCGGGGATGATGATGACGACGCGTCGCATGAGAGGCTCAGATTTGGGAGCATGCGAGGCAGTATCAGAACGAGCAGAAGAGAGAGAGAAAGTAAGAGGGCAAGGGTGATGCCAAAGGCAACTAGGCCGAGGGCGGTGGCACCGAAAGCATATCTGATCTTATCGATCGTTCCAGATCTTGGTGGCTGCTCGATCTCACTGTAGCTTTCGTTGCCGTGGAGTTGAGAGTATTTTGGTAAGCGTGGCGTGCTTGACATTGCATGGAAAAATGATTGACTTGGAGAAAGGCAGTGGGATAGTAGTGTTCGAAGCGCATTTACCCATCCATTAAGGGCATGTCACGCATATTACGTGTTTGCTACTATATGAAAAGTATTAATGACCGGGTTTTTTTCAATTCCCGGAGGGATTGTCAAACGGAGGTGAAGTAGCATGATGTAGATCAAGAGCCTATGCCAAGTCGGTGACGCTACTAATTCGCGGAGACTTTTGTCGGCCTACTACCACTAGTTATCGGACATTTGGAGGACTCTAGCTTAATTAGTGCGTAGTCAGCAGATCACACCGGTACGTACTAGTAGTGGTAGTCTGCCCGTGCACCTCATACCCGAATGTATCTTCTGCCCCGCCAAACACCAACGCCCGTCGTAATACTACAACTTTGACGACCCAATTGGAGTTTAACACAAACTGATCACAAAATCCATGGATTCTATTTCTGTTGTTATGTAATCATGATTCAAACCGATCGACTATAACACAATGCGCCCGAAGTGCAGCGCTATATTCGTCGGATTTCACATCACCTTCCGTTGCGAACTCGTGCTCCACTCCGGGGAAGTGCCGGTAGTCGTACGGCACTCCTGAGATTGTAATTGCCCTGTTAACGAATGTATACGTCCACTTTCCTCGAGAGTACTGCTATTTGACCACTAAATTTACAAAAGTGTAGTGGGAATTGAAACCTCGATGTTCTATCCAGCCATGATGTTATTATTCCTGTCTAGGAATTCAAAACGGGTGCTTGATCGCGACCTTCTCGAAACTGATCCTCCCTTCACCTGAAGCCTTGATTGTTTCGATTCCTTGCTCGATTCCTTCAATCACTCTCAGATTCGGGATTCGAAAGCGTTCACCGTAGTTTTCAGCTACCCAAGAGACTGTTTCAATCAAGCGTGATTCCGATTCCTTGTTCGCAAAGATAGGACCTAAAGGTGGAGGCAGGGGCACATCCCAGGCCCGAGCGGCCAAACAAAATATCCACTTATTTTTGTCACTGCGTACCGGCAAAGTCCCAGTAAAAATAGCGTCCGGCGCAGTGTTGAGTGCATCACACCTTGATACCGAGGATGCTTGTCCCTTTGTGCATACTGAATCGAAGATGAACTTCAATGGCTGACCAGATTGATCAATAGCAGTCTGGATCTTTGTGACCACATCATCATCCCGGTAGTCGAAGCAGTGTGTTGCACCCAGATCCTTGAGCGTTTGATGGTGAAAAGAAGATGCTGTAGTAATGATAGGGCTGATGCCTGCAGCCTTTGCGAGTTGTATTGCTGCCCAGCCCACTGCACTACCGCCTCCCCAGATCAGGATGCCGCTCTTAGTTTGCATTCCTGGTGCCTTAATCTCGGCAAAAGGAATCCCCAAGATATTAAATAAGGCATCAGCCGCAGTCCTCACCACAATTGACATAACCGCCGCCGCCTCCTTTGGAAGTGTGGGTGGTCGTTTGGCAATCAGCGAGTTTCCCTGCGCAAGCAGCCAATCTTGATGCGCTCCGAATTCCGAACCCAATCCCATCCTCTTTGAGCCAAAGATCTCGTCTCCGACCGCGTAGGGAAATCCCGGTCCAGCTTTGACAATCGTGCCACTGAACTCGTAGCCAGAAATGTGGTCATTCATCCTAAAATCGATTCCATGCTTCAGATCAGCAGGATTGATGCCAGAATAATGCACCTGAACCAGGCCTTGGTTATCTGCTGGCTCATAGAGATTGTTGTATTCTGTAGCATACAACTCATTTTGCGGCCCGATGTAAATCGCTTTATTTGTGGAGGTCATTTTAAGATGGGTTTATTAAGAACCAGAGGGAAAAAGAACTAGTGGTGTAAGGCGCCATTAATCAAAGACAAAGGGCGCTGAATAAAGTTTGGCAGCCAAAGGTAACGCTTACCTTGCGGGTAGGTGGGGACATGTGGTTGGCCCAGGATGGGTACGCAATCCTCCATCGGCAACCAGCTGCTACTTAGCCCCCGAGTGGGGGTCCCGGCGGGGGATGACTGTGGTCCTAGCCTATGAAGGACAGTCTAAGCAGACCAATTGCACTATGAAACTATTCTTGATTGTTTCAAATATACAATCGTGAGTTAATTGGTTCGATTTGCATAGCTTCAGCATAGATGCACTCTAATATCATGTTTTGCCCTGGGAGAGAGCACTTTTGTACAGCAACACACACTATACTTGCCTAGAACTTCAGGAAGGAGGCACAAAGGTATGGATTTCCTATTTCCATTATACTGGAACGCTAGCCTCTGCACCAGGTCACTCGATCTCATGCAATTTCTTACAAATTGACACTCGGGGAATCAATGCATCGAACAACAATCTACGGCCCTGCCGGGAGTGGCTAAAATTTATGAGATCCAGTTAGAGGTCGACAGAGGGAGTAGAGGGCGAAGCTTGGAGTGGGGAGGACAGAGGCCTAACAAATATGCCGATGGGTCATTGTGCCTTTCCTATAATTCAACTGGATCCCCGCGTGAACTATGGGAGTCTCTCAAGAATCTAGTACTATCTTCTCTCTATAACTGCTCCTTACTACTTCTCTCTGAGTCAGATAATCAACTCATTTTATTGTAGCATTAAGAAAAATATCATCTATCTAAGTTTCTACTATCACGCTCTAAGCTCTATTTGGTCTTTAGAGACCCACATTTACTATACGAAAAAAAAAGGATGCCGTTCGAATCTACCATTGAAGGCGCCAAGCTTGGAGGTACAGGTCCAGAATCCGACGTCATCATTGCGGGAGCAGGTCCTGTTGGCTTACTGCTCGCTCTCCTCCTTGCTCGAAAGGGCATACGTTCCAAGGTATTCGAGAAGGGTGCAGAGCTGGATACCTCTCCTCGAGCGGCACTCCACTATCCACTTGTTCCTGAAGTTTTCAAGGACGCCGGGATTTATGACATTGTTTTCCAACGCGGCAGTCATTTAGGTGGCCCTCTATGGCGTAAACGTATCATCGACGATGGCAATGGCGGAAAAGCACTAGGGCCGGTAATAGCAGAGCTAGAAACATTTAAACGGGGAGATGATGGATTTTTTGAAGAAGGAAAAGTCGCTATTATCTTTGTGCAAGGGGCCTTGGTCCAGGTGCTGCTGGAAGAAGCCACCAAAACGAATCTTGTCGAGGTTCACTTCAGCACGCCTATTATGGGATTGGAGCAAGACCAGCATAGAGTCTCATCTCGAAAAGCTCCCGGGTTACTTCGCGGTTGACAAAGTCCATTGGGGGGGGGGGGGGTAGTTCTACCACTTGAAGAGATCGTGCCCAGGAAACCTGGACTGTGGCGCTTTGCAATGGCTGTTCCTGACGAAACATTGACGAACGAGGAGGTAGGGGATCCTAAATATGTGCATGAACTTCTCCTCAAATATTTGGATGGTCCACGACCTGCCGAGTGTAATTTGGTTCGTCGTCGTGCTAACCGACTGACTGCACCAGCTCTTGGCAAGTACCATGCATTGAAACAGAGTTCTTCTCGCTGGTGATGCGGCGCATGTCAACAATCCTGTTGGCGGACTTGGGTTATGCACCGGTTTGTTGGATGTTGACCTTCTCTCTCAGGCACTTGATCTGATAATCAACCATGATTATCATGATCCGCAAGACTTGCTAGCAGAGTACTCAGCAGCTTGGCAATTTGTATTCCAGACATTCGTGAGCCCCATAAGCAGTGCGAACAAAATCCGACTTCACGAAAGTGATCCAGACGATGCCGCTGGTGAGGATTGGTTTTTCCGGATTTTACGGAGAAATATTCCACAAGAGATAGAGAAGGCAGTCACGCCACTACAACAGGTCTGGAGGACTGATATTCGTTCGATCATCAAGGACCCAATGAAGCAAAAGTTGTAGGGGGTTTAGAGTACACAGCGAGTATGAGGCATACTTAAAATACAACTGCTTCATCACTAGGTGTAAATATCGCTGTGCAGGTATATTTGGGGCCTAGGAATATTCTCCACTGTCCATTATCTATAACTTCAGCGAGAAAAACACATGCCCTGATTTGCGACCTTGCAACATTCAGCACATGAAGTTGCCAGACTTTAATGTGTAGGGGCCGTGAGTTTGAAGAGAACTGTAAAGTCATAGCGGAGCCCACGCGTCCATGCCTTGCAAGGGCATTGTAGGGTCTCGCACGGCTGAATCTGGGGTTGGATGTACTAGCTCTGATTTGGATGTACCCGAGTGGGGGTGATTTGGATGTATCCGAGTGGGGGACAATACAGCCGACTACTACCAACGACAAGTGGTCATGCTATTCCCGATGCGGATGCCGGATGACGCGGATAGGAGGGTCCTAGGACCCGTCCCCCTCACAAACTGACATGGATACTACCGATATTCGGTAAAGATCGTCCAAGAGAAAATGTTCCCTTCACATTGGCGTGGACGCCTGGGACTAGACACTTCCGACGGGGGAGTAAAGTAATACTCGCCCCACCCCTCACCCCCACAACATGAACTCAGGGATCCCATACAACAGCGCAATGCATTGAGATGGATTTAAATAGAGAAGAAACAGACCAAAAAACCAACAGCTTCTAAGCTTTTCTGTTCATTCATCTGATACACAAGCGAGTATGCCACCATCGTCTACAGACCAGCCTACCATCAGGCAGCTCTTCGAGCATGCCGAGATTTTGACACTGCGCAATGCCTTGATCATCGCACCCGTCCTCTACATACTGTTCCGTCTAATCTACGCCCTATTTCTCTCACCCTGCCGCAAGATCCCCGGTCCGTTCCTAGCGAGAATAACAGGGTTGTGGGAGGCGAAGAAGGTGGTCGAAGGAGATTCCCACAAAGCAATCATCAAGCTGCACGAGCAATACGGTAAGGGCCTTTACAAACACCCCTGGGACGTAAGACCCAGCCGTTTAGAAGTCCACATGGGAGTAAAGAAGCTAATGAGACATGAATATTGGCGTAGGTCCCGTGGTACGCATTGCACCGAATCGCTACGACTTCGACACGCTAGAAGCAACAAAAATCATCTACCGCATCGGCAACGCGTTTCCAAAGTCAAAATACTATGTTCCGTTTGGATCGCCACATGGTCCGAATGTGCTGAATGCGCTCGAAAACGAGCTGCATGCGACGATGAAGAGACAGCTCGCGTCGCTGTATTCCATGTCGACGTTGCTGTCGTATGAAGCCACCGTGGACAGCCAGACGGCCATTATGAGGCAGAAGCTTGATAGTTTCGCTGCGACGGGCGAATTGGTGAATTTGCCAGCGTTCTTCCAGTACTATGCTTTCGATGTGGTTGGCATGATTACTGTGAGTTGCCCAACCTCCCGATCCCCTTCTTTGTACAAAACTAGTCTGGGTATAGTCTCGTTGATGCTAATACCCGTTTTCGTCTATATAGCTTGGAAGTTCTATGGGCATGATGGAGGCTAATGCAGATACCTCTGGTATTTGTGCGGCGCTTGACACTGCCTTTGACTACGCGTCTGTGGCGGGACTCTTCCCAGCATTGCATCCATGGCTGATGTCTCTGATGGGCGTGCTTCGCGTGCCGAGTCCTACATTAGGATTAGACAATTTCGTTGAGGAGAAGATGGAGCTGCATATGGATGAAGCTGCGCAAGCTGATGGGTCCAAGAAGAGCGCGACGTTTCTGTCGAAGATGGTTGCGTTGAAGAACCAAGGCAAAGCCACCAAGCATGATATCCGAGTCTGCATGACAACGAACATTTCAGCGGGCTCGGACACGACGGCCATCAGCTTGAGCGCCATCGTATACTACTTATGGACTAACCCTAGGGTCTTGGAGCGACTTCGACAGGAGCTGGATGCTCAATCAAAAGCCGGACGACTGTCCGATATGCCGACTTATCATGAAGCTCAGGAAATACCATATCTGCTAGCTGTTATTAAGGAGGCTCTGCGGCTTCACTCCGCTGTTGGCACACAACTGACACGCGTGGTACCCAAGGGCGGTTGTGTGATAGAAGGACATTATTTTCCTGAGGGTGTAAGTATTCTGATGATACTCAAAAGATCTGTTCCTGTACGTCGTGTTAGGATGGCTTGCTGACTTTGCTTTGAATTTTTAGGCCGAGGTTGGAGTCAATGGCTGGGCACTGCATTATAACAAAGAGATGTTTGGCAAGGACGTCCATGAATTCAGGCCTGAACGTTGGCTGGAAGGTGATAAGACGAATATCGGGCTGCCGGAATCTTTTGCAGTAAGTCAAGGCTCCTTGTCTTATCACGGTTGCAATTGTTTCTTATCACTAATTTCCTCGATAGTTTGGTCAAGGTTCCCGCTCCTGCCTCGGTAAAAACATCAGCATCCTAGAAATGTCCAAAGTTATTCCACAAGTAGTCCAGAACTTCGATATCGACATTTCACCCAACGCTCAAGCTTGGTCAGGCAACTGTCGTTGGTTCGTGAAGCCAGAGTATAAAGCCCGGCTGAGGCACCGGACAAAATCAGGGAAATGACTTGAACACGAGCCGACAGGACACCATTCTGCGTGTTGGACGTGCATGAAAAATTGCACGCACCACCCCTTTGGAGGATGAAATACCTCTAGTATTGAGTGTCTTGGAATAAATAGCATACGTTTTCCTTCTCAAAAGTCCAATACGACCTCTGTTGTACAATACTCAGGAATGCTCTACATTTCCTTCCGCATGGTTGCATTCAATATCCCCGATGCTTCAGCTCCATGCTTAGAGGATATCTGAACGCATTCCATTGTATGCTCCAAGTCTGCATGCACTAAAATTGCCGACGTTGCACCAACTCTGCAGCCTGACCGAGCTTTCCAATAAGGTGCACAAGGTTACCGACTAGGTTGGGACAATCTCGATAGTCAATCATATACTTTTCACGTAACAGATCCTGGAATACAGCCATAGTCTCAGGCTGACATATGACTTCAATAGTCAAATGCTCCATATTGTCCGTTCCTTGTCGACCTTGCGTTATGCAGGGTTTTCCAACCCCCGATGCTAGAAAATGTTGCACCAATGGGGTATGGTAGCCGTCTAACACTATCTCTGTCTCCTTGGACGATGTCACAGGGCATCCAAGCTTCAGTTGTGGATTTTGATCTGCAGGGCTGTTCGAAAGTTGTGCTTTGGAAATAATTGAGTATGACCACAAAATAAGGCTGGCGTGATAGATTCCGAGAACTGTCGACACTTTCAAGGTGGAATCCCCGTTTCCACGTGCTTCCCGCAGGATCTGACCAGCATGCCACATGGCTTGTCGACAAGACCGACTTTGAGCCCACTCTTTAAGTTGTGGAAAGACGCGGCGTGCTTCGTGTTCACCATCCTTACCGCCGAGCAATTGCAGGTCTTCGAGAGAAACGTGAAGATACATGAGCTGCCGCTCGTGTAGAACGGCAAGCCAAGGATCCATCGGACCAAGCCAATGCATGTGCGTGGTCGCAAATGATTCTAATGATTCTCGTGCTTCTTGGTAGAGTGCTTGAGTGCTGAATGTGCGCGTGTTTTGTGTGGCACCTGGTGTTATGCCACAGGCCTTCAAGCGCTCCTTGTACTGCCATGTATTTGACCATAACCCACTGAGGACCACTATAGCTGTGTATCTAATATCCACAGAGTTTCCAAGGGAAGACAGATTGCTAGGATCCTCGATACAAGCGCGTATTGACAATTGCGGTGAAGGACCAAGCTTGAGCCAGGTTACCCGCCATGCCTCGGCTGAGGGCGCTTTCCAAAGCTCTAGCGCTGCTGGGAGACCATTATGCATCTCGGTGCCTGTCAATGGGGGCGGTGTCAGGGATACCATCGAGTGCTGAGTGCTGAGTATGAGCAAATGTAAAACAAGTCTATGGCAAGCGTTAACATCTATAGATGGTGAAGACTAAGCCGGCAGTATTCAAATATGGAAAATTGGGCGGATTGTGCTCTTCTGACCTTTTTTTAGATTCATGTTCAACCCATGCAAACCATTTCTTTTTCAAATCAAGGTTGTTGTCGCGCAACTCCGGTGAAATGCCTTCGGGATACGGAAGCCGTAAAAAATCTCCCCTCCTTATCATCTGTTGTACTTTGTTATCAATAGGTTACCCTGGGTCATTGTACAAACTTACAGTAATCGGCATACTGAACATGCCCTCACTGATCTCGATTCGCCGACTATCCCCACTCTGCAGTCCGGCTTGAATCAAAAGCATGAAAGACTGGACCGGGCCAAGCATTCGAATATTGCGGGGGTCGCCCTGAAACTGTCGTGAAACAAGGTTAGCGTTCTTTAACATTATGGCTGGATTAATCCTTTTGCGGGGTTACATGCCACATAAGCGATCAGCTCTCGATGAAGCTCGTGTAAAGCAAGAGCAAATTTCAGAAATACAGCACTATCTGACCGGAAAGCCCCAGCAGCGATGAGGCCAATGACTAATTCCATGGAGGCCGTGTTTGGGTCAAAGCTGGGAACATGAAGCCAGCAATCGGCTTCCCGGCTTTGTTCGGCAAGTTCCATGGACAGTAGGTATTCCAGCACTCTGATAGATGGAAAGGATGAGAGAAGGCGGCAGTGGTCCGCAGAGTCTGTAAAAGACAAAACCAAGCTGAGGATGCGATATCGCGTTGATGGCTGGAGGTGCACGAGAGTATGCTGTTGGAGATCAGCAGATACGGAAGCAGACATCATTTCGTCTAGAGCGAGAAGGAGATCTGCGATTTTAGCAGACCAGCCTTCGCCTTCCCTTGGCGTCCAGAGCAGAAATGATTGCTTGTATGCGCTCTCGCCCATGGAAAGATTTCGGTCAGCTTCTGACATGTCGTCCCTCTCTGGTGGCACTGCGGATAAAGGCTGGGTTTCCAAGGAGCCAAAATCGAGGATGTCCAGATTTAAAGCATCCCACGACCATCCTAGCTCGTCGCCAGGAGCGTCCAGCAAGCCCAAACAGCTCGTTTCAGCAGAGAAATCAGTAGAAGAAGGTTGCTGAAGTTGAACAGTGTTTGGACCGAGTATGCTGTTCTCTTCTCCGATTGCGGAACCTGCGCTACTGGTCAGTATATCTACCGGGGAACCGAAAATGACACGGTCAAATGCCGACCGATAAAGGAAGACCAGGGGTAGGAAAAAGAAAAGCAAGATGAGCAAGCCAATGGCCAAATCAATGGGGGAGGATGGAGACATTGGCTTGCCTTTGTCAATAGATAATGGAGCGATGGATTGGTTTGCGGAACTGTTTTGTAGTTCTTGCAACATCTTTCCAGAAGGCACTTGCAGTTCTGTAGGGTCTATGGTGTTGATTGAACCAGGGATTGAGTGGCTATCGTTTTCGATACGATTTACAGACGGCGTGAATGCTGACTGAAATTCGTGATTAGTTGAGCCTGAAAACACAACTATTTCGGCAGGAAGTGTGGCAAGTTGGGACTTGTCGATTGAGCATGATGCTTTCCGACGCGTGCTCAGCCCTGGGTGGGATTTTCTAGGGAAACGGCAGGGCAAACCTCGTTGCTCACACCGCCTGCATGGTTTATCTCCTTCACAACGCAGTTTCGACTCAGCGCACGATAAGCAAGCTTTCGCTGCCCGCTGGCGGTTTTTTCCCGAAGCTGTACCTCCGATAGGTGGGCCAACAAATTGATGGATGTTCATGTGTCGTTTGAGAGTGTCACTACGTCACCTCGTCAGTCAAATGTTGCAACTATTGAGAGCCCAAACCCAGGGGCACCCGTGGTATTGGGAAAGGTCATCACTCACGATCTCGAAAACGACTTGGGGCATATCGGACAGCTAATTGACTTTTGCTCGGTATCTACGATTTGGAAGTAGCGTTAGTGTTCATACAGAAGCCAACACCAGAATAGTTTCGTACGTCTCCGAAAGTGGCGAGCCAGATGGTCGATTCGAGAATAGCGGCTTTTGCAGATATCGCAGACAAAAGGATTCAATTTGGCTGTGCCAGGCACCTTTTTTTGCGCAGCACCGGCCGCATGTTCGTTTGTTGCTTGATAGCTTGCATCAACGACGCTACCAGAGGCTGTTGGGCCGGTCGAGCTGGTGCTCATAGTGAGTGGGATATTTTTGAGATGTTGCGCAGAAGATTGATTGTGCCCAGTCGCCCAAATGCTTCTCGACAGCTGGATGCATAAGAAAACACGCCATGCTGCAGACACTATGAGAGGATGAAACGGGAAGGGATCCGTAGGAGCCGTTAAATGCGGGGTACGGAGCGTGGGGCTACGGCTTGGCGCTGGATTCCGATTGAACGAAAAGTTCCGTTCCCTCTCTCGGGCAAGTGGAGGGAGCAAGTACACGTTGAGCACGTAAGTGTTTAACAAGTGGCGGTGCCAGAAATGTGTAATAGCTGTCTCCTGATGAAGCGAGATAGATCTGCTAGCCAATCAAAGCTTATCATCTTGGTAACATATAGCTTTTTGAGGCAAAATAGAGACTATATTGGGCGCAGTTACGTGACAGCCACGGCTACACCAAGAGTGTTGTTGATAGAGAAGATCTAGTGCACAGACGAAAAAAGCCAACTTTACAGGCGTTTTGCGCACGCTGTAGAGCTGATATTTAATATAGATAATAAGAGAAGCTAGAAGCAGGCTGTATAAGTTGTTTTATACTAGTTTTGAGTTGTGCAGCGCCGTAGTTAGTGAGATAAGTTTAGTCTATAAGTAATAGGGTGAAGCAATAGGGTGATAGACAACAAGATAAGCTAGCGGCAGGCTATACGAGTTATTTTATACTAGTTTTAAGTTGTGTAGCGTGTCAGGGTACGGCTCGTTAGGTCAGATCGGACAGTAGGTATCAGGATAGATTACAAGACGTAGTAACTCAAAGAGCTACGTACGGACAACAGAACAGATTCTTAAATACACGTATGAGGGCACGTACCACGGGCACGGATCCCTATCCGTCCGTGCGTACGACCCTTGACCAATCTCTCACGGCCACGCCGTGACACAGCGCCGTAGTTGGTGAGATGAGTTTAGTCTGTTAGTAATCTGTTAGTAATAGGGTGATTGCTGATTCCGAACCCCCGGCCGCACAAAAACGGGATAGCCCTCGTATGTCAAACACTTACGTGCTCACCGAGTGCATATGCGTAATGTAGCGGCAGTAAGATTAGTCCCGGCTAACTAGAGCAAGTGCCGAGTCCTAACACGCAAGCCTTTGTCCAGAGAACGAATGCAACCTCGCAAGCCGTATCCTAAGGCCGTTATGAAGCCTACTCTTTCAGGATGGTGAGCAAAGGGCTCGTTTTGTAACACGACCAGCCTCTACTGCGGAGGTTGTTAAGCTCCGAAAGGCCAAAGCTACAACACGCGGACCCCGGTTGCTTCATGCCCTGTAGCCAAGACAAGCCAGCCTGTACCTATTCGATTAACAGGGACCAGCCACGATGCAGCTGTCAAGCCAAAGGTCACGAGAGAAAGATAGCTCAGAAGCCCTTGAAATGATACACGACATAAGTACATTTCGGAGGCCAAAGCTGCCGATGGTCCGCAAAGATTTGTACGAGCATCGGCCTAAGCACGATGCTGCCTTTTACGTGCCGGCGCCCCGTCGGCCATTCGCTCGGAACCGTGCTTTGTCTCTGGCGGCTCCTGCATAGAGCTGGTTTTCTTGGCTCCTTGTTTGGCTAGTTCTTTGGCCTGTTTTCTGGCTCTTGGTCTGACCCCAGTTCTGGTTCGTATTCTGACCCGTTTCCTGACGTCATTTCTGGCCTGTTTTCTGGCTCGATTCCTGGCTCGTGGCTCGATTCCCGGCTCGTGATTTAGTTCCTCGTTTAGTTAATCTAGCTAGTCTGGCCAATCTGGCTGCCCTGGAATAGATTCTGTCGTCCGTTACGCGAAAATTGCTGTCCTTTGTTTCTTGGTTTATTTGCAACACCGATTTCTTTTAACTTCGGAAAACTTACCACGTGGCTAATGCCTCTCGCAGCTCTTATATTAGGCTAGTTTTTAGCTTCGCCTTATGGTCAATCCCATAGCCAGTTCTATGGCTAGTCGGGTTAGGAAAGATTTTAAGGTGTGAGACGTGATTAGGCGCTTTCCTTATACGGCGACGCCAAACATCTTAGCACTGCTAATGGGCATAGCGTTTCTCTGAGCCAATTAGATCCAATCTTCTCGATGCACACACATCGCCGATTTTGATATGCAGCTGTGCAGCTACGATAGGCAGTAGATAACACTTCTTTTAGTACTCAAACTATGATTATTTCTATCGTTGTTTTGTGGCCCTAAGACGTACATTTTTCGAAGATGATGCTGTTTCTGAACCCATATTCCACACAGAGCCCATGCCATTACCAGGCTGGGTTTAGCAGTCATGAACCGGATTTCGGCCGAATGAGCTCTTATTCCGACCTGACTGCAAAATATACCTATTATACCTGGCTGACACCCATGTATATTCCTTCGGGGTGACAGACGCTAGTAGGTTTCACCTGCGATAAGATGAACCCCACAAATGAATGCAGCAAGTCGGCCTAATCACACTGCTTCTCAAGCCTATCTAGTTGACATTGCCATTTCTGACGCTTCTGTCGATTGCGGCTGCTCTTAAGCTTAGCTCCGGTGATTCATCTGCATCTTGCAAGGGAACTCCTTGTGCCACGCGGTCAGATCAAACAAAGATAGCGATGTAACCACGCTAGTGAGCTCTACCCAGTGCTCACCGCGTACACAACCGCTGTATCTATATCATTAGTATGTAAGCTGTTGCTTATTGTGTCCTCATTCTTCTAGAACATTTCAATACTCTAAAAGGTGGAATTGGTGCCGGCAAACACCTTATTTTTCGCTTCTTTCTGAAAAACCTTCCTTTTTTTGATGCGATGCAGCTAGAAAAGACTGGCCGAAGCAGGATGAATTCGAAAGCATGTGATCAATGCTATAGATGCAAAGTCAAGTGCACAATGGAGCTCAGTGGTTGCGGGCGCTGTCGACTGACGGGTGGCGTATGCACGTACAGCCTGGGCAAATGGATGGGCCGGCCAAAGAAGTCGAGCCAGCTGACCTTGAAAGCTCAGGCAAGAGCGATGAGAGATACTGGAAGTGCCTCTATAGATCACAAGAGGAACCTTTCAAGTAAGTCTCGTCTATCATCACACAATATAGACATGTTGGCTTAATTTCACCAGATCATATCATACACATGCCAGAAACACAACAAGAATGGGAGCTGCTGTCATCCGCTATGAACGATTCTGAAATGAATACTTTGAATCAAGATTCAATATCGTTATTGTCGATGGGCGATAACATCCTGGCCAAAGCTGAGGACTGCTACTCCACACCCGATGAATGCCTGAGTATCAATACTTCAGATAAGAAGACAAGCCCCAGTTCCGTATCTCCCACTTGGGCTCAAGTCAGAGAGACACCACCAAGAGGCATAGAAATCGGCAGCATCTCATCGGTATGTTTTGGCTACATTTTTAAGATGAAAGTGAGAGTTTAGACCTGACTAGCGGTGTAGCCACAGGAGTGCCAACAAGCCAGCTATCATAAGCATCGAGACAATTCATACTCACATCTGCCAACTCCACAGAGCCCAGGCTGTCCTAATGACTTCAACTTTGGAATAATGGATACGGATTTCATAGCTTCGTCATCAGTTACCTTGATAGGCAACATCGAAAAGTAAGCGACATGAACACTTCCTGATCTATCAAGAAGACTGTAGACTAAAGGCCGTTGCAGGAACTTTGCGATATGTACTGAAGACATTGATGGCGGGCAAACACATTCCGTGGTGGAAGAAGGATCTACATCTCCTAATGAGCAAGCGTACCACTGCCAATGCTCTCAAGTTGCGCTAGCTTGCCTCGACAAAATCTCCATAGTGCCGTCGGAAGCCCAGTCCATCGACCGTCTCAACACCATTCAGTCCGCCCTCATGACTGCAGAGCGGCTGGTCCTCTGCACAGATTGCCCACCAAACATGACCATCGCAAGATGCTGCTTCATCCTGGGAAACGCTCATGAGCTGGTGAGTGATGTGACCTCCCACGCAGGAGACGCATCCAGCCCCACTGCCACCGTTTTGTCCCGTAAATCAATAGAATACATCAGGCGCCTCAAGCGCCGCGCTAGCATGCTTTTTGCGGGATTGAAAACGTTGCAAGATCTAGGGTCCGGCGATCGGCGTCTTTCAAACATGCAGTCCGAGTTTCTGTCAGCACTTGCGAATTCTTGGCTTTCTCTACCTGATCAAGCATCGAGACTGAAAACAATGTCAGAAAGCTGAAAAAAAAATATCCAATCATTCAAATCTAAACAAACGTAACACAATACTGTTTATTTTCCCTCATACAATGGGTTTGGGCTGCCGAATGAGAATGGTGGTCGTGTATGGCTTTGACCATCCATATTGCGGGCGCTCCTGCTGCACTATTTTAACTACTTGGAAGCCGTGGTCTTGGTACAGCTTGACACCTGGTGTTTTGGCAACAACAATTGTCTTCAAACTGTTTCTGTCCGCGTATGCCAGGCCTTCAGCGAGCAACATAGAGCCAATGCCACGTCTTTGTTGCTCTGGATGTGTAGCCAAGTAATCCAATGCTTCGATACAATTAGTCCACACAAAATACACAATATCATGTCGGGAAGCTCACCGAGAAAATCTTCCCCAGTAGACAGTACTTCAGCTTCTGCCTTCTCTATTGCCTCACTAAGCTCATCCACCATCTCATGATCAAGGCCACGGATTTTCCCGTCGTCAGTCACGTCCTGGAACGCCTGTTCGTATGCTTGACGTTTTTCCAAATCATTCTCAAGCACTACACCATCAGCCCACGTGTCGATATGTCCATCTGGAATAATCCAACGCGCATAACCAACAACGTTCCCGGTAGCGTCGTCTACAACCTTGCGGTGACGCTTAGTGGATGTCACTTTGACAAGGTTCCATGGCAAGCGTCTTGCGCAGTCGTAGATGATGTTTTCTAAGGTGACTCCCTTCCATAGAGACGCCCAATGTGCATCTTGGTAAAAAGCGCGCATCATGGTGTCAGCCAGACCTGTGGAGTCAGTGGGCTTCACCGGAAGGATTGTGTAGATCTGGAGCAAAAGATCAGCGAAACACGAGACCAGGGACTAAGATTCGCAACCTACCATTTTTGTAAAGATGGCCAGATTACATTAGCCAATGCGTAAAACTTTGCAGCAAGAAATAGTTAAGTAGTCGTCACGAGTCAGGGGCGTAGTAGGTGTCTGGCAGGTGATGTCTTTGTGAGCCAAACTTTCTCAGTTTCCAAAACCATAACAGTCTTCCTACATGTTACTCTTTATTCTCCAAACCTTCCTGAATCATTCTTTGCATATCCCCCCTCTTTTTCTCGTTGGCCAAACTATCATTCAAGAGGATAACGCCTGCTTGTCATTTGCGGTTTCTTAGTTGCATTGTGTGGATTTTCCGACCCGAAGCGTGCATGGGCCGATCTTCAGGCCGGCGGGGGGCTGCTGCCTGATCTCAAACTTCGGAGCCGAAAACAAACTTCCGAAAACTTCAAGACTCCGCAACAACTATGGAGCGGCGTGCGTTTGCTGCCCGAGAGCGTTCGCTCAATACCGCAAAATTGCATTGCTCAATAGCCAATGCTTTATAAAATGGTTATAGTGGCCTTGCATTGTATATAACATGTGACACAACCACTAAAGGGTAGATAATCCAACCCGCTACATTCACTCACCCACCCACATTTAACCAATCACATCCCGCACTCAAACATTGACAAATCAAGTTGCAGCCATGTTACCCAAAATCATGAGCAAGCTGTCTCGTTGTAAGTTTTGAATCCCGCCCCTCTCCCCCTGCACCACCAAACCCAATTTCCAACTTTGAGAAAACAGTGAGCTTACTCTTCCCCAAGACACCAAACTCTCCGATTCAGAATATCAAAACCCGCCATACAGCGCTAGCGACGAAGATCTCCCCTTCCTCCAAACCCCACGTGAGAAAGACGACTTTACATCGCCGGCCTCCAGCACACACCGCTCACGCCTCTGCTCCGCGCTGATCGTCGCTTCCGCATCCCTAACCCTCGGTCTACTTGCCTTCATCCTCGTCGTCGCCCAGCGGCGCCACCCCCAAAGCGCCGTTTCACTCTGGCCCACCTACCAAGGCGGCTCCGTCGTCGTCGAGCACTGCGGCAACTCACCGCAAGAAGCCCAAGACCTCGGCTGCACCTGGGATCTCATGAGCTTCGGGTGGGTGCACCCCCGCTGCTTCAAGCCCGACGAGTCGCAAATGTGGCTCGAAAAGTACGGGCCCTGGAAGTGGTACTACGATCTGAATGCTACCCAGGAGATTGCGCCAGAGGACCTGACGACCACTGGTCGTGTGTATACCGAGCAAGGCTACCATGTGGTGCATTGTTTGTACATCTTTAAGCTGCTGCATATGGCCGGTATGAGTGGCCATATTGTTACTGATGAGGCGATCCCGCTGGCGCATACACAACACTGTGTGGATATGATTTCGTCGCCAAAGTATACGGATTTCAAGCATATTAATACGCGGGTTGACATGTTGTTTGCGCGGTGTGTAACACTTAATTAGGTTTATGCTTCACTTGAGTGTGAACCGGACGAGAAAAGAAAGAGGATAGAATTTTTGTAGTGAAGTATGCTTAGCGATTTTTGTTGGTAGCAGTTAGGTTATAGTTATCGAAACCGAACCTTTGCCCTAGTAATACATGAATGTATCATCAAGGACTTGACAACCACGCCATCCTCATTTGTCAACTTGATTAAAATTAATTATGTATGTACATACTGATAATGGAACAGAACAGTGAGAGTAGTGACTACACCTCACTTCCACCATCTTGCTGCTCCTCATCACCAGGCTTATGACCATGCCCTTCAATATCTTCCATGTCCTCATCCATACCAGGCCACAGCACTCTCTTCTGCAACACACCCTTCACATTAAGTACAGCAACCCAAAACCATAGTATAACAAGTATGATAGTCATAGCGCTACACACACCCTTGATTCCCGGGCTATCCAGGGCTTTCGCAATCCAGATAAGCGCAATCGTCATTCCTGCATTTGGGAAGATGAAACCCCAGTGGTTGAGTGTAAAGTGTGAATCTTTGGCGCTGATGATGATGCTGACAGTAGCGATTGCACTGAACCAGAAGGATATGAGCCAGAAGAATATGCCTACAATGACGCCAAATGCTTTGATTGCGTCGCCAACAGGAAACGATATGATGGCGAGGAAGTCGGGGGGTAGATGTCTTGGTGCTTCGATACCGAGCGCGACGCACGCATTGGCGGTGTAAGCAGCTGGACCGACAGCAACGTACATACCGGGTCGCTTCGGTATCTCAGGTAGGTTGCTGTTGACGAGGCGAGTGAAGTAGAGTGTAAGCATCAGAAATGCAATGGTCCAACCTAGACCCTGAAACGCAATGCTGCCAATGAATATCTTGTAGCCTGCATCAGGAGGCTGACTTTTCAGCAAAGTACTTCCAAGAACGCCCAAGATTAGGAAGGGGTAGATTGGTAAGATCCACGAGGGCATGGCGTCGGCGACGGGAAGTTCTCTTCGGTCGAAGATGACGTGGTACTGGAAGACGGCAACGAGGATGACAATGGCAGCGTAGAGCCAGTAAAGTATCTCAAGTGCCTTGACTAGCCATGGTCCGCTTGAGGGAACACCATACATCTCCATACAGTAGATGATCAACGCAATACTTACAAAGTATGCGCCGAAGAAGAAGCTTTCGTGAGGGTGATGTAAGCTGAGTTTGAGTGATCCACGGTTGTGTATGAAGCGGTAAGAGATGCAAGCGGTGAATGTGAGGAACAAGACGATATCCAGTATGTAGAATATCTTTCCTATCGTCTTCAAGCCCGAGAAGTTGTATGGTTGTTGACCAAGTAGCGTGGCAAGCGCACCGGTTGACATTGTGCATTCGAACCAAGACCAGCTAAAGTGGTCAAGACGCTTTTTCCATGGCAGATGTGTGGGGTTGTAGTCTTCTCGTTGTGCTGGCCGGGTCCGTCGTTCGATAGGGCGAGGAAGTGAGTGCGAAGGCATGCTGCTGATCGTATCGCCCAAAACACCGTCAAGGAGAAGGCTGTAACAACAGTGCAGTCGCAGACTGGCGGATTAATTGATCCAAAATCAGCACAATGCGCAACGACGAGGCGAACTTCTGTTATGTTGATTGCCAAGGAGTCTGCCCTCACTGGGCGAAGCAAATGCCATGATTTCTTGACGTCAAATTGGCATTCCATCGTTCAAAGCCAAGAAAAGGTTTAGAATAAAAGCGTCATAACTTTGGGGAGGTTGACTTGGAATCCTGAATGAGTATTGCTTTCGTAGATCGCGGTGAAGGTCGAGCGAATTAGGCAGTGTCACCCCTGGATGATCGAGCCTCATAGATCTTCGTGCTACGTGATGACAGCCTTCCGCGTCTTTCTTTAAATTCACATCGTAGGGATTGCTCAGAGGTTGGGTTGTGATAGGCTCAGCTGCGACGATCACAGTCATAGTGCCGCCGCGGCAGGTGATGTGTCGATGACGTAACGCTCGCGACAGCAAAGCACCATCCTTCAGCGTCTCTTTGTGGTATTGCACTGAATAGATTAGTTTGAGTATATCGCTTATGTTTTCTGCATGTGGATACATCCGATGATGCTTAATTTGCTCGGACACAGCATCCTGCAGTCACGAGAAAGCGCAATGTCTGCATGACTGATACTGTCATGTGATGTTCTTCAGAGTAAGCCTCTTTCTGTGAAAACTGGTAAAGGATACCTTCAACTTTCTTGCACATCTTCAAAATGTCCCAGATAGCCATCATCATCTGGGACGTGGGCGACAATAAATCGTATGGCTGGACTAAGGCATTTGGACTATTAGACTTTTGCCGCAACCCTGCGAATACACTGAACCAATACCAAGATTTTTCATTCTTTATTGTGTAGCATTTCTTTTCATGAATTTTAGTTAGTTCGAAACTCCCCTTGGTAACAGCTCAAAGCTTGATGGCGAAGGTTTGACTGAATGTTAACATCTCGTACCGCCTTGGCGAATGGCAGTGAGTTAGTAGTAGAAGAAAATTTCCTTATCACAGCACAAATTGGTAAGAATAAAGTCGGATCGTTTCTAGAAAATGTTGGAATTTTCACATGTTGCGGTGATGACATATGAATAAGTTAATGTTATCAGCTTCGCGCCAGTTCACGGCCTGCTCGGTATCTAACGAGAATGAACAAGTCGGATCCTTAAAGAGGCAAGAACAACGTCGATTAACACAATCGATTGTATCTACTACATCTGCGTGGTTTTGTAAAGTCTATCTGTTCGCATACTGGTTATCGGATCTTGTTGGTAGCACGGTCATTAGTGCCCATAGGCAAAACTATCGCTAACATTCTTGGGTACGTGGACGGTGATCAACTTGGTGCTGCATTCCTTGTGTTTATGCTATTGGCACAGATGTAGTTTAAAAGAATACCCGATCCCTACGACTCCAGGTTGTTACCCAAGTTCTTGCGTGATTCCACGTCAGTGGTAGCAAGACCAAATTACTCAGCCATCTCAGTCGTTCCACTAAACGCAAGGGCCGAGGAGCAGAACCCAAGTTCCGCAAAATCTTACTCATTGTCGACAAGATACCCATGGAATGCACTAGAGAGGTATTGCAAGATGTTTTGTATATCGTCGCGGTTGTCCTCGAAGGCCACCACGCTGGTTTTCACCTCTCCGATAAAAGCTCTAATGAACTACCGATATGAATTCAGAAATTGGATTGCACTATCCCACGCCGCATCGACTTGCTCATGCGGACCATATGCGGAGTCGTGTGCTTCAAAATGAAATTCATCGAGAGCTATTTCTTTCTCCGTAGTCCATTTCATGAACCTTTTACACACTAATCTGGCCTCCTTATTATCTAGAATTCACATTTAAACATTCACCAATACTTTATATTGTGGCTCCTTTCACGTTATGTACTTCCTGATATCTTGTGAAATGACATGCGTGGACTGGTTAATAACAGACTTTACAAGAGATCATCAGCAAACAAATTATCATTACTATGGATACTGAGTACATGAAAAATCCACGCACTGCATTCTCTAACCATATCCCACACCTAACATGCGTATAAGAAAATGACATCTTGATCATAAAGCAATCGCTTCCTAATTCGTAATCATCAACACATTTCCAATCGTTGTTCTCACTTCACCTATCACGGTGCCGCAACACAATGATGGCTTCCAATACAGTGGGTGCAGCAAACCTTGTTACTTCCCGGCGCAGCATTTCCGCAAGGATCTACACTCCCAGTCAGTAACCCAAAGCCGAAAAAAAAACATGCCGAAACTTACACCAACTCGGCAAGCAACCACCCGTGCAAAACGACAAGGTCAAGTCACTGCCGGACCCGCACACCTTGATCGAGCTCCCAGCGGGCTGCTTTCCATATGCCCAAACAATGTTTTGGCACGTAGTATCGCTCGGCTTCAGCGACATTGTGCGTCCAGCAAATCCATCGCCAAATATATCACTCATGTCGTACCAGACCTGCTGGCCATCAAGATTGTAGGCGAAAATAGTCTGGCTGACATTCGGCTGGAAGATGCCATTCTCAACCGGCGAAATCTTGAGCGCGATGCCCCCGGATTGAGGGTCGCGCCTGAATGTCTCGCTGTAGGACGTCGACGGCGCGATCTTCTGCTGCGGTCCGATACTTCCGCCTACAGACCAGAGGTAAATAGCCTCCGGACACTCATTACTGACGATTGCGCGACCGACGGCGTGGACGTGAGGCAGGAAAAGCGAGGACAGGGTAGCGAAGAGAGTGATGGAGGGGAGAAACATATTGCCGGTAATATAAGTGTTGTATCCTTTGCCCTCTTAATTTCTTTAATCCTTGGAAGAATGTTTTGACTTTTGTATCCCACAACCCTTCCCTCGAACCTCCTTCTTATATACCCACAAAACCCCATGCTAACTCAGCCATAACCCCCATCACACCACACGAAATACAAATGCACCCCCCCCGTCATACAGAAAACTTATACAGCCACACACCCGCCACGCTCCTCCCATATCAACCGCACCCATCTCCATCCTATGGGAAAACATCCCACATTCGCCAAGGAGGGCATCGTCGCACGGCCAGCCCGGCTAGCGTATTATTTAGCTTAATGAGTTTTAGGCACGCTTCCAATGCATATTGCTAGTACATCGCGCTTTCCGGGCACCAAAGCGCGCATCCCGCGTTTCGGTACCACTGTCCTTCACACCTTTCCACACGAGAGATAGGAATACGAGAGGGCGCGTTGGTTCGTATTCTGAATAGCTACTAGTGTATCTGTTAGACTACCAGTAACTGGATATTACAAACGCCCTTTTTTTGCAGTCCCTTTACTATCTTTTTGAGTTGCGAGGGTAAAGAAGTGGCGCGGGGCACACGCACAACGGCCCCAAAACGCGGGGTTTTTTTTTTGCCTAGCTGAAAGTCAACTTGGCGAAATATCTATTGTACCAACAATTTATTGTGTGTAAAGCTTATTTTATTTTTATCACTTATATTTCCTCTCTGATGTATGCCGAGAAAACTCGCTCACAGTGTTCCCTCTCGCTGTCTCCGTGGGCCATGGCGGTGGTGCAATCAGCGTTACACCATGCACGACCGTTTGCTGCGCTCCTGCGCAAGCAAACCAAGCAAACAAGAGAGAGAGAGAGAAACAGCCTGAAATGTGAAGGGTTACATACGTATACATATTACCCTGCATATACCGTCCTTTGCAGCCACACACACCCCTGGGCTTTAATCGCAAACGCAGTCATCATCGATATTAAATTATGGGAGACCCTGACAAAACCAATATGTTTGTAGTATTGTACAAAAGTCCGCGTTGGGTAAAGGTAAAGTTAGCTTTACCGCTTTTTTTCGGCCTTGGGCATAGTAAGTGAAAACTGACACGCGATGCTTTTCGTATCGCGGGCTTCGCCCTGTTTTGCAGGTTGTGATTCGCTAGACCAAAAAAAAGTTTCATTGTTCCGCCAGCTTTTCTCGCTTATTGGAGAGGATGGGGGAGCTGAAGAAGGTGGTGGTGGCTAGCTAGACGCATTTGGAGAGAGTGTGCACATGTGCGGATTGCTCTATGGCCCAGATAATACGAAGAGTATTGAGTGGTGGTTTGCCAACACATCGATTTGGACTATTTATAGAAAGATATCCCGAGACCTGGTTCTTGGACTGATGGTGGTAGTCGTATCTGCTGTCATTGGGGGGTTTTGGGTCAACGGTCTCTTTCTCATACGAGGTAGCGGTGTCAACTGTTTGCTGTCAGGCACTCCGTTTGTGTAACTTGGCATGCCGCAACGTTCTTAAGGGCTATCGCTATATGTTACATGACCGTGTTCAACACATTGTAGTGCTACCCTGTTCACGTGAAGTATAGGCTTCTATGCCAATACATGAAGTCTGGCTTGAAAATGTAGGTAGCGTATACGAGAGTACTTCTCAGCTGTGGAATGTATCGCGAACATCATGGTGACGAGAAACCCGTTCCCAACTCTGATCTAGCTAGTTCCTTCAGATACTTGTCAACGAAACACAATGGTTTATAATGCTTCGAATGCACCAATGGGGCTTATGTGGAAGTAAGAGCGTTCTACATAATGTGGTCGTGAGACCTTTGCGCAAGCGCCTAATCTACTAATGCATTCTATCAGACTGTTGAACGAGATGAGCGTCTCTGGCGACACCAGAATCCCATTGGATGCCCTGCATGCTTTTACCTTGGTACATGTGCCCCCCTTTCCCTAACTAAAATTATATCCATATGCATAACACTTCACTCAGAAGCCTGAGCTCATCCCCTGATTCCATTCGGCCAATTTCGCCACTTTATCCTCGCAGCCTGCTGCTCTTTGTCTAGATAATCATCCTATCGTTCATTTCTGATGGTTTGAAGAAGACCCTCCAGTCAACAGTGACCCAACTCGCGATGTTGAACGTGGACGTTTCGGAGGTAGGTGGTTCGGGCGTGATGATCCTACAGCCAGATCCTATCTCCAGTTCAACCATGTTGTTTTCCAAGATTTTAACCTCGCTAATATTTGGTTCCACATATCTTGTCCTGCGACCTCTCTTTGTGCGGCTCGCCTCGTCCTTTCCAATATTGCTGGACTTCTTCGAACTTCCACTGTCTTCAATAGGATGTGCGCGACTGTCCGTTGAGATTGGCAACACAACACCCTGGAATACAACTTCTCCAGGCAGAGATGAGAGACTCTGGACTTTGTTAAAGCTGAACTGGAAGCTATCCAGACCTGGAATCGTTAGCATAAGCGATGCAGGACTCTCAATAGACTTACTGAGCAAATCAGGTAGCCGTCGCCTTATCTTCTGCTTTTCACGGTTTCTAATGTGGCTAGTATCCACCTCCTCGTCGGCTTTGGGCTTCTGGTCGCGTGTTGAATTGCTCTTTTTGGTTGGGTTCGTCCCACGAAAGAATGCGCTTTGCGCCCACGACTCAGGATGGAATGTTGAGCTGTTGAATAGTCGCGAATGGCTGTTCGCGTGACGTAAGAAAAGGCGACTACCAATCATTGACGACTGGCGTATACTGCTAGCACACAGGCTCAGTTCTGAGAACGGCCTGCGGAAATTAGAGTATCTCCAAACTTCAAAGGGCGTTAAGAAGCTCAGAGCCTCTAATTCGCGACGCATATCGACTCGCGTTTCCCTAGCTCCACAAAAGAACTGGACATTGATATGTTTGCGTTCAAGGTCCATCAGTAGGTCCAGATAACTGAAGCCGCCCTCGTCTGTAGCGTCGCAATTAATGATGGCTTCGTGAGATTCGTTGTGGAAGAAGAGTTCGACATATCTCAGTTGCATGTTTTCGGTAGCTGTCTCATTGATCATTTTAAGGAAGGCAAATGTGAATTTGTTGCACGATCGCAAATGAAGGTGCGTGAGTGTAGAGGGCAGGACCTTCAAGCGCGCCTCTTCCAATGTCTGTAATCTTCCGTCTTTCAGTACGAGGTTGTTTGTTGGCGTATCATTCTTAGCAGGTGTAGTTTGACGGTCCTGGTTTGAAAAGACAACGTTTTGTGGGCAACCGAGGGCATCCATAGGGACATCTAGACGCTTCAGGCTAGAAAATCCAGCCAATGTGATAGTATGTTTTCCCATATTTCGCCAATTAAGATCGCGGAAGTGAAGAACCTCGAGAGTCGCCGGCCCCTTCCATCTAGTGTCTTCAGCAATGATGAGAGATTGGAGTCTGGGACGCAGTATCTGGAGAGCGATTCCATCGAATGGCGTAACTGGAAGTAGTTCTGGGTTCAACGAAGGAAATGTATGGGGTGCTGAGTGGTTCGGCCTGGGTGGCTGACCAGCTTGGAAACGTCTGGCTCCCGGGAGCTCAATCGTTATTGACCTCATATTCGAACACAACGCTACCAGTGTGTTCAAAAAGAAGGCTTGGTCTTCTCGCCATACTGGACCCAAAAAGCTCTTGGTTTTCCGGATGTGGCTCCAGGTCACGTCGCCCTGAGTGTTGGCAGTGATGATTCTGCCAATCGTCTCCTTGACATCACCATCGAGGTTAGGAACGTCTCGGCAGTGACAATCTTGGTGATGGGAACAATCAAAGTCACCAAGGTCGACGTGTGTGATTTTCTGGATGAGTTCAGGGTGATGCCCAAGCATCTCAAGGAAACTTCTGATGTTTGGTTGACGAAGCACTGGCTTCCGAACCATAGTTTGCTGCACAATACCGCTGAGTCGCTTGCTTACAAGCGCAAATTTGAAGATGGCCTTTTCCTTACGGAGCTTGGAGGCTATCAAGTCAATCAACTCGGATGGTAGGTCCAGAAGACATATCCTGGCGCGCTTGTATGCTTCACCGTAATCCAAAACAGTGTTTGATTGATGATCGAAGCGCTGTTGCTCATGAATGGAGGCAGTCTCTCGTCTCGTAGTCTCGCGTGGGAGGTTTGGGATCGCGGGCGTAATACCAGGACTTCCCACCCGTCTCTTTCTCATCCTCGAACTGGACGGTGTTGATGGCGCCATTGTGAATTTGTGGGCTTACTTGGGATGAAGGGATGGTCCAACAGTTGAGTTGCGCCGCCTTCCTGCGTGTTTCTATATGCTCATGCGCTGGGTAGAAATCGATGTGGGCATTTTAGTCCCGTGAGTTAGTCACACCTGCGGCAACCGCGCTATATGCAGCTGATAAACACGAGGTGACGCCAGCAGGTGAGCGGGGGGATGAATAAATTGTTCTCTGTTGCTGCAGGCTTCAGAGATGACCTAGGAAGGTATCTGAAAGATTTGGAAAGTTCTGCCTGTTTCAGGGACTGTCTGTCTGTCGCACTCGTTCACTGTAGTGGGAGGAGTGACACGTTCACGCCAAGACGCTAGCGTTCGATTGGGTGATTCGTCATTGCTGCCTGATACACACACGTGATTGATACATGATGCATTAGGCATGGAACAATCCCGTTCCAGGCAGGAGTGCATAGATAAAGCATCGGGTGTGCACTTCCTTGATTTGTACATGTGTGGGGTAAAGGTACAGATGGCGGCTCCATAAGACTGGTCACGCGATTGGAGAAAAGAACATAGTTGACGAATCGCTTCTCTTGATAGCACTACCCACTATACTAAAGAATGGTCACTCAAAACACGTCTCCTCCCCTCTTTGAGAACATGAGCTCCAAGGCCCTGATTCGTGAAGAAACCGATCAATTGGGTTTGATTCGACAAAACTCCGTCGTTCAGAGGTATACATTTCAATCCCAACAATCGTCCACTGGCGATGTTCCGCTCCATAGAAGCCTTCCCTTCCTATCCTTGTAGTCTCGCAATGCCCTACATGCATCGTATTGCCCCTGGAACACCCAACGCCCAGGAGGTCATACGTCATTCTGCTGGACGTCCCGTCTTTGATCTCTTTGGATGAAAAGGTATGTTCATGCAGGAAAGCCCTCTCCGGATGCGACTGCGACACTGCTTTTTGTTGTGAAGCTGCAGGGCGATATCGAGGACGTTCAACAATGACACCGTCGGAGCGTTCGACCGCACGATATTTCTTGGGCCGTCGCTTGGATGTGCTTTGAGCGTTCTTTGTTGTTTCGCAGAGGGCGTGAAGAGGGATGTTTGCATTCTGATGAGCGTCGCAGCTGGGCTTCTTGACTGAGTTCTCTACAAGGACCCGCATTTCGAAGTAGATGGAAAGTAGGCAGCTTCGGCTGGGCAGTTGTCAGTCCAGTGGTTTCTGTATGCGTGATGCTCTTCTCTAGATCAGTGCGTCATGCTCGCTTTTGTACTCACAATTCAACCTATACTGATACTATTAGCGCGCCCGCCCTCACGAAGCAAGAGGGATTCGCAGAATCCAGAACCTTTCCATCGAGATCTCAAACTCTCCACAGCGTTCATTTACCCTTCTCTTGTGCGACCAGCTCGTTGCAAAACAGTTGCCTTACGAACAAAGACCAGGATCGTCCTTACAACCACCCCACTAAGATATCATATCCGCAGATATCGGTCCCAGCCTCCAAAGTCCAGACCGCAAAGGCCCCTCGGAATCAACCGTAGTCCTAAGGTGGGTAAGCTGCCGCCTCTACAATATGCTTTCCCCATGTCTGCAACGTCTCCTGAGGGTATAATAACGTCACAGAGAGGCGATGGTGAGATGTTCTAGACTTGTGGGCCGGATGTGGCGTCTGAGCATCTTGACTCCATGACCTGGTGTTGTGCAGCAGAGATGCACAGCCTCCTGCACTGCGTAGCGAACATGATGTCATGCGCAAGGCCGACAACGTTTCTTGCGGATGTCAAGCATCAACCCGGAATTCCGGGCAGCGCGGCTGCGAAATAGTCAAGGTTCTAGACTTCTGAGTTGTAGAACGAAGTAGGAAGCTGAAGGAAGAAGATTGCGGAGAGAGGAGCGTGGGGGTGCGATGATGTCATGATACGCTAGAGCCGCTAGGCCTGAAGACCCTGACAGGAACAGGAAACGCAAAGCAAAAATGACCAAGGATCTTGTAGCAGTACATTCTAGATATGAGAAGTCTCAGAGTCAATCTGAAGCTTTATTACCGTTCCGCTGTTATGTCTAGCTGGAGAAGATCATGTGCCGTATTTGATCACTTGGTTTCATGGTGAAAAGCAGCTAGTCTTACGGCAGGGACACATTCTAAATATTTAGCAAGCGGGAGCAAAAATTCGTCTCCAACCCTACGTTTTCTTCATCCGTTTCGGTCATAAAAATGTGATGGTTTCAATAATACTAGTACCGATTCAACCTATTATACAATAACGGGGAATACGAAGTGGAATGTAGAGGTAAAAGAACATTATCCAAAAAAACTGTGTGAACAGTGGACAACCGGCTTTGACAGAATGGAGGTGCATCAATCAGGTACTTGCCCTGTAGCAAACACTTGGTCAAGAATCAATCACGACTTGTAGTGCTATGAAGGGTAATTGAGTCATTAAGTCTACTGGAGACGCTTACCATACATTGAGCGCCGCAGCACCAGCAAGCATAAGCAGCGCAGAGCCCTCGATGCTGAACCTGGCAGCGGCACCAGTGCTTTCAGGTACACTTGCGCTTTCAGTTACACTTGCGCTTTCAGGTACACTTGCAGAAGACTGGCTCGATGTTGGCGTGGGCGCAATACTAGGAGTAGAAGCGGTGCTAATAGTTGCGCTGGCTGACGCACTGGCCGTCTCGCTGACAGACTCGACCGTCATCTGTCCTGTACTCGCACTCCTTGTCAAGGTTGCAACCGAGGTAGATTGGGCGCTCGTCTTGGTAGTTGTCGCACTAGCACTGGGTGCTGTGCTTGTTGCGGTCCTCAGCAAGCTATTTCCTGCTACAACATCGACGGTCAAAAACTTGACATCGTCGTTAGAGAAAACCGCTGTGACGGGCTCACCGCCAGTGTCGTCATTGCCACCTTCCTGCTTTACTGTGCATGTCATCTCGACTTTTTTCTTATTGTAGTCGCAGCCCAGGCTCATGGAGACACCAGCAGCGTCCATAGTGGCCTGGTAGCGTGTTTGCGAAAGGATCGTCGCGTCAAGTCCAGGGCCCCAACCACACTCTGAGCTGTCTACACCAGTGGGGCATGCCATGCGGAATTCGGTCATTGTTGGGTTCACAGTGTTGATTGTCGCGACAGGATCGGCACCTTCATAGCCTGTTGCGAATATGTTGTTAGAGCGACTTCATGAGGCTGGTAAGATAAGAAGAAAATTGCGGGTAACGAACCACCGGGGAAGTAAAAGCTGATGATATCAGCAGCGCAGACAGTGCTGGCAAGAATGGAAAGAAGGGTGGTTGATTGACGCATGGTATGTGTTTTGTTGTTGTACTGTGTAGGCTCGATGGTGGGTCTCTGTCAGAATACGAGTGTAAGAATTAAAGTTTAGCTGTATGTTGATAGGCGGATAGGTATTGTGGCTTTGTTGCAGGGTAAAAGGAGCGACTATGGTATGTGTGGCGTTAAGGAACGTGAGCTCGCGACTGCAAGACGAGTGGGCAGACGCGGCAGGGCAGAAGGCGAAGCGGACAGGTGTGCGCGCTGGCTCTAGTAGATATAAGTACGAAGCGCCATTTACCTGTATCTTTGTCCCCCCTGAGCTTCAGAACAAGGCTTGACTTGCTAGCCGCGGCTAGATGTGTGCAATTAGCGGCGATCTGCATGAGATGCACAGCCCGACTTGAACTGTAGCAAAATTGACTCCAGGCCAGCAAGATTGACACCAAGCCTTGCAAAATTACCGTGTGGGTCAATGTCGGGGACCAAGGAGATTGGCCATTAGTGGACGCGAGTCAGGCTAGCAGGGCCGGGACGAGTGGAGCCGCACGGTAGTAGGTGAACGATGGCCTTCGCATGTGTTGTCAGGCACACATGGGCTTGAAACGCTTGCCTAGTCGACCAAGACGTGCGTGACACGTGGATTGGGAGCAGTGGGGGCTGTGAGTGCCGGGATCCGACATGTTATCGCAATCACGCCTGTGTTCATGAGACGGGCCATTCTCTGACGGTCTTGTAATATTGCCGTGGATCTGGATGCAGATGCGGGTGTGGGACGCAAAGGAAAGATGGAGGCAGAGAGGGGCAGAAGGGATGGAGGCTGTGGAGAGCATGGGGATTACTACTAGTACCTGTGTACCTGCCATTCACAACCCCACCTTCCGGCACTTGGTTACAATGCTATCATCACCATCATCATCACAACCACAGCACTGCAAATTTATACACCTCCAAAAACTAGCTTGCCGATGATGAAAGCAGCCCTTGACCTTACAGAACGCCCCGCATAGTCCGACTGCTCGTCTGTCTCTGTTCCCGGCTATGGTCCAGTCTGTGAAGTCAAGCTGATCCCTGCACCTAATCGCCCTATCGACACTACAAATCAGCACTACCAAGCTCATCAGCGATGGAAGCACAGGGTCTGCTTGTCATATGGGGATCTGTTGACCCTACAACAGTAGACGAAGGCGCCCTGAATGACTGGTGGACCAACGAGCATCTGCCTGAGCGCCTGTGCCTCCCAGGATTCCAGCGAGCGCGTCGCTACCGCGCGCTCAACCCTGAAAATGGACACAACGAATATCTCGCCGTGTACCAACTGTCGAATGTGCAGGACCTGGGATCAGCAGAGTATCTGCACGCGCTCAACCATCCCACTCAAAAGACGATGCAGTTTATGCCGTCGCTGGCAATGATGAATCGGTTTGCTTGCGAGGTCGTTTCCTCCGAAAATTCATCTGTTTTGGCATCGGACCAGCCGGCTGAAACACACAACATGCTGTATATGGTGGTCTACGAAGTTGATGCTGCAGGGCAAGACCACGACCCATTGTTGTCAATCCAGGAGCATGTTGGCCGGACGCGAGACGCTGCATCGGCAAAGACGATGCATGTTCACTTGGCCAAAGGCAATCAAAAGCTTACCGAGATTGGTAGTGCCAGCAAGTCTTACGAAGGCGTGCATTTCAAATCCTCTCAAGCCGTTGGCGAAACTGAAACACTGGCGGCTGACACGGTTATTGCTTTGTACGAGCTCAGCCACAATCCGACTGACAGCTCGATAGCCGAGGGCGACATTGTCAGCACACACCTTGGCGACACTTCAAGCCTACGGGGGGTTCGTATCAGGCATACCAACATTTATCGTCGCATCGCGTCCCTTGATAGATCTTCCCTTGCATGTTGACGTGACCTAGACGCTTCCGCCTACGCCTATGCTGGTCGCCTTACTACCACGACGAAACGCATTCGGCAACGCGTGCCCCCATTTTTAGGCACCACGGCCAATCGAATACCTCTGGCAACAAAACCCATACAAGCCACAGTATGGGCACACACCAAATATGGGTGCGGGTCACCAGGGATCGCTCATGAGGCGTAACCGGTCAACAGGCTAATCGAGCCATAAAGCTTGCCTTTTATCCTGTGTTGTGCAGCCATCGTCACAGTCGTCCTTGAGCCATCAACAGAAGAATCAGCTCTCCCAGTAATTCATTAACGCAAAATCAATATGCCTACCATAAGGGTGCCCCTCACTCTTCCATCCACCGCGAATGTGTCCCCTCGCCTCCGCATCCTACAACATGCCCAGCTATCCATCGCAGGCCTTGCATTCTTCGCCTTTCTCGTCACCTTTCTCATCCCATTTCGCCACAAACTCTTCACGCTCAGCCTTCTCTACACCCCGTTACTCACCTCCATCACCACCATCTTCTTCGTCGTCCGTGAGCAAAAGAACGCAGAGGCTGGAACTCTTTCCAAGCAGAGATATGTCAAGTACCAGGTGCTCAAGATGGTGGCTGCAATCGGCATGTCGTTCATAGGATTCATCGGATACCTAGCTAGCGCGCCTGCTGAGGCAGACCAAGACAAACATTATCCTGGTACACAAGGAATGTGGTTGAATGGAGTCAAGATTGGAAGATGGCAAAGCCTACTGCTTTGGCTCAACTTCTTCAACTGGTACGTAACTTTGATTTGCAGTAAACACCGCCGGCTTTGTGGATGCTAACACATGCTTGATAGGGTCTTCCTATGGGCTAGCTTGTTCTACTCGTGCTGCATGACAAGCAAGAAGCAGGGTGCTATTGCCCTTGCTGGTGAAGAGGCCAACATTGGTATCGACGCTGATACTGCTAACGACGAAGCGATTGCCCGCGATCTTCAGGCTCAGGACCCCAACTGGCAGGCCTAAACTAGAGATGACGGGCGGTATTTGCGACGTTATTTCCGCATTAGACACAATCAAGAGCAACATCTTCCAAATAAAGTCTATAGAATTGAATAGGAAAGCGTTGGATGTGTTTGATATTTTTCAAGCAAGCGGTGCCACGGGGATGAAGTACAACAGTGATCAATTGATGTTTTTTCCAACGTTTATTGGGCGATCACTCTTTTTTCTCCACCTTTCCAATGCCCACATCCCTTGAGCACGCCCCACTTCTACAACCTCACCCCACCCCCAAACACTTTCCAGCGCTCAAAAAGGTGATGATGAAGAAGAAGGAGTATGACACTCTGCTCCATCACAATTGCCATATTCATTGACAACATCGTAATTGCCGTAGCGTCAACATCGCTTCAAGCATACGGTAAGACCGCGCTTGAAAAACGTTTGCCGGATCCAAGACGATCCGCAAAAACAAAACACGATACATAACTCATAAACACTACAAGTACATGAAAATTGTTACAAGATCAATCTTAGCCTTCACACTCTATATTTCTGACGAAAAGGCGCGCGCGGGGGGNGGGACTTCTGGATCTAGTACGCCAACATGCTGCAGCCTATCTGCAGATTCGAATACTTGCTGTGTATCTTCAATGCACATGATATTATCCATACTATCGCCAGTGATGGGAGTATCGTCCTTGCTAGACCGTGGCTCCAGAGATTCCAAATCAAGATCCGGTGCACATGCAGGTTGCGTGGAGTTGTATCGCGACCTTCTATGCTGCGCATTTTTTTGAAGCATTCCATGTTGATTGCGACTGAAAAGGCCTCGGATGAGCATGCGTCGTGGCATGGGGACTTCGGCGAAGATGTCCGTGGTGAATGGGCTTGTTTGGACTGACGATTCAGAAGCTATGAAAGATATACGGTTTTGGTTGTTAGGAGTGGCCAGGGCAATGGTTCGGATGAGATGGGCCATTGACATTTCGATGTTGAGTTTGGCTAGGTACGCCAGCGGGTGGAATATGGCGTAGCTGCTAGATGTTACTTTGATGTACGGATTGTAAAGCTTAGTGTTCACCTACACAAATCCATTGGGGATGCTCATGGCTGCAATGATCATAACGTCGAATAAGAGCGAGACTACAATAATGCGCTTGTTGAAGCGGACTAGGCGGTTGTACTTGCTCAGGCCGTTCCTAACGAGCTCGGATTGTACGGTCTTGATGAAGTACCAGTTCAGGTACGCATCCAAGAGTAAGAAAAGGACTTTCTCAATTCTATCCCAGATAGAATTGATGCGTATCCATCTGAGGTCTGGTTAGTCGAAATACAAAAGATCACGTGCAGCGAATACCTTTGACTGATCTGAAGACGTGCGGGTATCCACACGCAAAAGACGCTAATGTTGATCAAAGTGACAATGACTGCGGTTCCTATAGCCAGATATCTTCCTCGCCGTCTATCCGGCAGGACCACGCGAATTCGATTGACGATAATTTGCGGCAACACTTGAATCTGGATCACCCAGCAAACCACTGGACTTGTTAGTCATCTTCTACTCAACAGCTGTGTCATACTTGCAGATGCCCATGTACATGTAAAAACTGGGACGTATCCTTCTTAGCAAGAACAGTAGGCACACTACGGCAAGGACCACCGAAGCAGCCAATTCAAGCCATATCATCCAGATATATGCATTTCTCCACGGCTTCCGGGACGCTCTTGTCTGCCTGAAACCAATGAACACCGCGGAGATTCCAAAAATGTTGGCAATCGCAAACGCAGTGCCCGCTAAAATAATATCCGATCGGCTCACTGGATCTATAACGTAGTTGTCGGGAATAAATGGACCCCAAGCCTTATAGCCTGGAGGCAAAGCATTAATGTTGCTCATGAGCTTGACTTAGGTAGCATGTAAGCCAGCCCAGGCGTGATTCATGGTCGATGTTGAGGCGACGCCAGGATATGCTGCAGAGAGAATTTGTGAGCAAAGATTTCTTGTTGTGGCTTTCAGTAGCTTCCGTCAATATTCGACAGCTGCGGGGCCGAAGGCGCTATATTATGAACACTGGAAAAAGCTCTCGGTATGAACAAAGGTCCGTATGCCTTGTTGGGTGTAAGCTAACGCGCGAATTCGGGTGGTTACTATGGTGCCCAACACGGGTCATTTAGAAATGTGTGCCAGTGAAGGAGGAAGCGGGCGAGGTTTCGGCGGGAGCTGTTGAGCTGATGTCGACGATCGCTGATCGTGTCAATCGTTCACAAAGGCCTTAGCATCCGCCTTGACTGATTGGACGCCGCACAAAAAGAACGGCGTGGCTTCGGTGTCGTCGCCACTGCACAGAAACCATAAAATTCTCACCATCCCGTTGACAGAATCACCAGCGATTTGATATCCACGCATAAAATGATTCGTAAGATCTGCGTCTTATCTGATGCAGGAAAGCAGTGTCGCAAGTTAGAATAGCAATCATAAAATGTGAACGACAACTATTGGCATTACCAAGGGGGAACTAGAAAAGCTTTGATAATCATCATTCCGCTGCTTTAATAGCCGTTTATTCGTGGTAAGCTGAAAAAAAACGACACGTACATATGTACACAATGAGAGAGTGGGAGAGTGTTGACGTAGGCCAAGATTGAATAGTATGCTCCGTTCCGCTAGCGCCAAAGTTTTCGACACATGACATTTCGGGCAATATCAACGTAAGCCTGTCAATACCGAATCGTATCAGACCTACCATATCACATATTGATATCTAGAAATAGGTAAAGTAGCTGGATTTTTTCGTTGCGTACTGCGAATCTCGTTGCATCAGGGTGATTGGGCACGGCCAGATGCTTGTTCCTATTCACATTCCGCCCTTACAATTCCCTACAACTACTTTTCCAAGTTTTATTTCTTCCATCCATCTTCTCTCCTTGACACTTACTCATTGATTGCAGCGTGATTGAAAAAGTTTTCGATCGGTGAACATAATGGCTTTGCTGCAACATTAAACCCAGTATTGGAAACATTGTCTTCACCAGTGAGTTGTCCTGTCACCACCTTAATAAAGAAACGGCACACCTCCAGCACATCGGCGATTTCCCAATCTTACAAGATTTCATTATATTTGGTAACGTCTCTGAGGTAAGCTGAGGCTGCACCCTACGGACAAGCTCTCGGGTCATGCCAAATTTCACATGCATAACTCCAATGTCGCATGGATCTATGCATGTATGTCTATGCACATAAGAACCACACGTGTTTAGAGACTTCGCTCTCACCTGCACTTGAAGCGCTTCCTATGATTACTGTTCATATGACAGGCAAAAAATACGCATAAACTTCGACATGTGATGAGAAGACTGAATTTTAACAAGGACGAGTTGGGTGGCTAGTGCAGATGGCTGGATGCCACGAAGCGTAGAACTGAACGACCTAGCTACAGCCTGGAAAGTTTCGGTACACATCTGATGTTCTCTTTGGCGTAAAGGTATCCCTGGACATTCATTACCTTCGTTATTATACCAGGTTCTTCGACATGTGCATCGTCAACAGAAATCAGTATGACACAGCATGCCACCAAGAACTGGATGTTGCAAGTAATCTTTTACTTTCATTACACAGCTCCTGCCGAGTGAGGGTTTACTACTTCCCGAATTCTATTCAGCAGAACCTTTTCTGTGTGGGGAAAAAATTGCCGTCTCCTGCCACTCAACCAACGGCCACCAAAATTAAGAACCCTTCCATCTACATACATATCCGCCGCCGGGAGTCGACCTCGGCAATCGAAGAAATCAGGAACTCAATTAAATCTCCTGGATCTTCTACTGGGCCTCAATCCTGGAACTGGGTTTCCGAGCTCAATCACTCGGTTCAAAAGAGTCGAGTCTTGCAATAGTAACCATATCACTCCACTATTGTCGATACATGATTTACGGTCTGAGGATCACGACGAGTCTCTTCCAGGAGATGTAGCAGACCGGTCCATAGAAAAACTTGCCTATCCGACATCAACAAGTCGCATGCACAAGTACAAGCATATACACTTTCCAGGGGGTCTTGCATGGCGCCAAACAATACGTGGAAGATCAATCTTCATCGAGATATTGATGATCCGCACCCTTTCCAAGCTCACTTTCTGCCTGGGTATCACGTCAAAACGCAACGAACGTCCAATCAAAAAACTCGTTAATTTTCGGCAACAGAAAAGGACCACTGGCAACCCCCCGAGATTCCCACGTTGAAACACTTTATCTCCGGCCTGCAGTTCGGCAAGTAGGACACTACAGTCATTGCCAGCAGGACTACCAGAAAAACCTTTGTTTAGTAGACTAAAGCCGAACGAGTGAACAAGTGCCAAAAGACTACTGAACGGTGAAATACATCCCGGCACCCACTACTCCACGGCCTCCGAAGGCCCCCCCTTGCTAACCCATTGGTCCCACCAGTAGGCCAACGGCCGGAGAACTGGATCGGTGCCCTAATGCACGACATGCCATCCTACTACCGCTTCCTACATAGCGTACTGCAATCTACGCGCCACACTGCTTACCAGTGACAAACCCAACGCCCAACTACGACCTGGGTTTTTCCAGCCTAACTCCAGTCTGCAGACCTCACGACCACAACATGCGCACTGTAATGATCCGTTTGGCTCAAACCGCTCAAATTCCGCTCCTGAGATGTCTGTTCCGCGGCCCCACTGTTACCCACACGTTTAAGATAAGCAGCTAATTCAAGCCTTTTTTTGGGGGGAAAGATATGAGCGGGGGGGGGGAGTGTTGCCACGGATTGGGTTCTTTGGAATAGCCTTTTCCTTAACTTCCAAGGATGCTCACACTCTACTTCCATATCGCTTTCGTTTGCTTAAGCGCTCGTAAGCTGTACAAGTAATACCACAGCTTTCCCTTGCTCAAAACCCCTCCCCAACGAACAAATTGAACGTGACAAATGGCGCCGCAGACGTCTATTCCACTGGCAGCAAACGTACTAGGCACGCTGGGAACGGTGTTCTGGTGTGTACAGCTTGTACCGCAGATATGGCGCAATTACCGGACAAAAAGCACAGTTGGGTTGCCGGAGTCGATGATGCTGCTTTGGTCGATTAGCGGTGTGCCTTTTGGGGCGTATGCTATTGCACAGCAGTTCAACATTCCGCTTATTGTGCAGCCGCAGTGTTTTGGGGTACTTTGTGGGGTTAGCTGGGTGCAGTGTTTGGTATACGGTCGGTATGTTGAGCATACGTTATCGTGTTTTTTGGTCAGTGTATTGATGCGTTTACAGAAAGTGGAAAGCGTGGACTGCATCTCTTTTATTGGTTGTCCTTCTTATCATCTTTGCTGGAGTAGAAGTTGGCCTTGTGTTTGCGATTCGGCCGCCGTATTCGAGAGGAGTAGAGTGGCCAGTATTGCTAATCGGCATCGTTGCCTTCCTGACACTCATCTCCGGCTACCTACCTATTCCATTCGAGCTTCTCAAACGACGTGGAAGAGTTGTTGGTATCGATTTCATCTTCCTAGCGATTGATTGGAATGGCGCGTTCTTCTCACTTATGGCTTTGGTGGCTCAGAATGAGTTTGACGCGCTATTCGGCACTATGTACGCATTATGGTGAGTCACCTACAAATTTTTCAGCTACTCTATGGGTACTAACCCATGATAGTTGTGCTATCGAGATGAGTATGGTCGTCTCGCATCTAGTGTGGCTTCTTCGGACTCGCGATATTCGAAGGCGTGCCAAAGAAGCCGGTAAAACATTTGATGAATACGAGGAGGGAATTGAGTGGCAGTCAAAGGGAATCGATGTTGAGAAGCTCCTCAAGGGAATGTTCGCTGGGAAAAACAAAAGGAAGGAAGAAGGAAGAAGCGCTGCCTTTGGTGACGTCGAGGCATCTGCTACATCGAAAGAAGTGACACCAAAGACTGTTCCGAATGCCACTAAATGAATGCTAATTGGAGGGGATTAGATAAATTAGAAGCATGCTACTTGTGGAATATACGCCTAACTGAGACAATGAATCCAACATAAACGTCAAGATTGGCATAATTATTGACCACACAATTATCAGAAGAACTTCTTTCTAAAAGAGGTTTGGGTATTATTATTACATTTCCATGACAGAACTAGAACTACTCTCTGGAAGCTAGCCATTCAAACTTAAGCAGTGCTGCCATTCGCACTACGCTTGCGCTGCATTTTCATGCGCTGTGCCTCCGCATACTTATTCTCTGCTTCCGGAACACCGCGTATGACACTGCCTCTGCGCGAGGTTGGGATTGAACCCCCTTGCTGTGCAAATGAGTTTGCCCTGCTTCCATAAAGTCCTGGTAAACTGCTAACACGGCGGCCGCCAGTCTCGTCACGAGCAGCATTCAACTGCTGGGCAAATGGACTGCGCTTGCGGAGCTCAGGGCCCTTCCAGTAGATGACGTAGACGGAAACGACAAGAAGCAATGAGATAGCGAAAAGGATTGTTGAAGCGTACGCAAGGTGCAAGTCGCCACCGATATTTTGGAAAAAGGGCGTTGCAGGAATGGTGAGAACACCAGCAAGGAAGTCACGGGCCCAGCCATTACCACCGGTTGCGGAGGCAGAGTAGGGTCCATAAGCGCAGATCATGTAGTCAATGGTAGCCATGTAGATAGCGTAGTTGGCAATACCAATGATCGCGGAACCAATGAGAGAGCCGATCCAGTGGATTGGCGGACCGGTGGAAGTCCAGGCGAAGATGATGAGACCGATAGGTAGACATGGTGCAGTGTAGAGCAACCACCAAAGTCTCGCCTCGTATTGAGCACGTTCATCTTCGGGCTTCTCTTCACGAAGGCGCTTATTGCGCTTGATAGCTGGGAAGAAAGAGAACCAGGCAAGGAAGTAGCCGATACCAATGGCGATGAAGGTCAGTCCGATAGCGAAAGGTGCAAAGTTCCATTGCTCGTACACAAGGGCGTACGACTGAAGGAACATGAAAATGATGGCATCGGAGAAACCGGATAGTAGCGACAAGACAAGGACGATTGGCTCGGTGACGAACATGCGGAATGGACGCATCCAGGTAATGAGGATTTCATGCATGCTGAAGCGTTCCCTGAACGTCTTTAGTTCGTTCGGTCCCCAGATGTTGTTCGGTTTGCCATTCTTCTCGCCTTCTTGACGACGCTTCTTAGCAATGCGATCCATGAGCACTGTGGTGCGAGTTTCGGGAACAAGAAGAGCGTGAGCAATTTGAACTGCGCCACCAAAGATTAACTGGATCCAGATGTTCCACCTCCAGGCGAGGAATTGCTCGACAAAGCCACCGACAATAGGGCCGAGAACTGAACCACCAACTGAAGAAAAGACGATGAACGCAACAGCATATTGCTGGTTGTCACTGTATTACGTTAGGTATGTTTATAGCAGAAAGAAAGAAGACACTCACGGTTCCCACATATCAGCCACCATGGCCAAAGTAACCGAGCCACCAGCAGTAGAAAGACCACCAAGAGCACGAAAGCCGATGATAGTCCCAAAGTTCGGTGCGATACCCACAGGAATCTGCCAGATGTTGACAAGGAACAAACTGAGCTGGAGGATAGGCCATCGCCCGAGCTCTTCACTCCAGGGCGCCCAAAGCTCGCAACCAAAGGCGTATGTGAGTAGGAAAACGGCTGCACCAACACGCGCTGCCTGTGCACTGACGCCGAACTCTTCGGAAATGCCGCTGATGGCATTGCTGTATAGCGATGTGTTGAAGTTCATGCTGACTTGCACCATGAAGATGACGCTGAGGATAGTCCATTTCTTCCATTCGGGGAAAGAAAACCCAAGCTCATCGTAGCAATCTTCTTCAGTGATTTCATAGCGATCGTAGGTGCCGTACTTTTCGTAGTGTTCTTTGTCGGCCGCAGAGATGGCATGGTCAGCTGGGTTTTCTGTGTGAGAGTGGTCGCCATCAGAGGCAGCCTTTTTCTCGAGATCGCCAGCCTCGTTTCTATTGACTGTATCGGCGTCGTGAATGTCTGGTCTTATTTCCGCGGCGGACGCCATGTTGCCGGAAGCTAAGCGCTTGGGCGATTATTAATTATTGGGTATTTGGGTGGTAGTAAGTGCGCCTTCGAGACCCAGAAGTACTGGCTCCGAGGGCTGGGTGGATAGAGCTATCAAAGCAATGTTCGCGCGTCATGATTACACTGAGGGAAAGGGACTTTTATAACTTGGCAGTGAAAGCGGTGATGGCATAGGCGCGGCGAACCAGGCAGCACACTGCATTCTGTGCGCATCACAAGGCACACGGTCAATGCTGAGGACGTCATACTACGTTGACCGCACCGACAGAGTTGTGGCGCTATGGCGCGTTCAAATTAGGGGCCGTTTGGTCCTTCAGGCCTACTACCCCACAGCCTCTCAGACCAGGCGATACAGCAGTAAATATGGGGCAAATGCAAATCGGATGTCGGCCGAAGCGAAGGCGGTCTATTGAAGAGGTCTGTCGTCGTCATACCAAAGGTGACATTGCTTGTTACCCAAAAGTATGTCCATGTGCATATGAGTGCGCAAGTTACAATGATACAAATGGAAGTAGACTTCTGGCTGCAGCTTCACCAGTCCAGGGTCCTCCATCACCCTAGCTACGCTTCAAGCCTTGTACACAAGACCTCAAATACCATCCAAGCATCACAGGTAAGCGACCCAAGCAGTGGCGATCAATGCCGCCCAGTCGCGCCACGACCCTTAGCCTCGAAATTCGATAATCCAAGGTGACATTGATGACGTCACATTATCCCCCTCCCCATGGCACGAATCAACGGCTGATCGAGGTCTCCATTGAACTCCACTTTATTGTAACCTTTTTTTTCGCTGTCTCCGACTTTTTCCCCAGCCTTGACACCACGAGGCACATGCTGGTCGCTGCCACGCGATATAGCAGTAATCGCAGAGTGGCCGGTTTGCCTCCTGCGGAAGGTCCGGCCGCCAAAGGGTCTCTGCACATGTATACTCATCTTGCTACATGTTCTGAATAATCTTAGATGAGGCTTAAAGCAAACTGTCAAATTTCGTGAAACCCATTCAACAGTAGGTGGTAACTGTGTTGAGATTCTTTTTACTGCCGATCCAATCAGCATGTCTTCTGAATGTGCTTGGTCCGTGCGGTTGCATTTGCAAGAAAAAAAAATCCATTGTCGAAACGGTCCATCGTGGACACTACGGTAGGTCGCCAGTAAATGTGGAGCAGACGCTAGGTGCTATATTACTCATTGTAGAAAGCTTTCCGTTGACATGCCCTGACAATCTGTCCTCCGACTTATCAGCCTCATCATCCTCCGAGGACCCATCTGCCGGTCTCCACCATGGACCGCAACATACGCTACCAAACCTTCTAGAACGGACTAGTCTAGAGGAGTATGCTCTCATACCACTTTATGTTTTCCGATCCTCCCTGTCTTTGGTTTTCGTGCTCTGGAGTGATGCCTTTCCATCCTCGCTATACTCAGCCTTCCCTTTCAATTCTTTCATGATATCCAACACATTGGATTTTCCCGCTTAACACCTTTCACAGCCACTTCAGCATCGTTTGTACCATGGCCAGAAATTCTGCATGCTGGTCCGCGGATCAACAAAATCAGTCCCTGCCGCCTTGAGCTCGCACTTTCAGACGAGCGCTCTCTCCCACTCTATCTCTCCCTCATCTTTCCAATAATCTATCCCATCCCTCCTTGTGAAACCCATCTTTTCCAACACCCTCGCACTCCTTGAATTCTCCTTTTGCGTCTCAGCAACAAACCTCCTCACGCCTCGTTGTCTATAAGCCCACTGCATAACGGCTTCTGCGGCTTCGCGGGCCATACCCTTACCCCAGTACGCTGGAGCAACACCGTAACGAATTTCTATCATTTCCAGCCAGTGCGGTAACGGGGGGTCTGTATCGGTGCGTGGTGGCAGGGATGTTGTAGTAGCATCACGCACACCTGCATATCCTACCCATTCCACATGACTCAATGCTTGAGTTATTGTTTCCGCATCTTGGCCTTCGATGATATGTAGTTCGTCATTGGTTCCAGTAACGGGTCGTGTGGTCAGTTGGTCGATATGCGCTGTTGATCGTACGCCCACTGCAAAGTCTCCCATATTCCTAGGTCGCCAGCATCGAGCAATGTCTCGTGTTAAAATGGTTTCCCGCGTATCTTCTTCCGTCCAATTTCTGGGTGCGAAATGAGCTCCGAATCCCATTTCGCAAAAAGATGCGTCGGCGTGTACGCTGGCGTAGAGATTTAGATAAGATTTGTTGTGGACGGCGAGGGGTGTGGGAATGATAACTAGTCGAGGTGTAAGGAGAATGAAAGATTGCGATGACATTGTCGAAGACTTTTCGCTGGTCATTGGATATGTTCTTGGTAATTGTATTGAGGTGTTGGTTTGTTCATTCGAAGAGAGTTGAGCAATAACTTTAGTCTTCCAGACCAGTCATACTTGCAGTGTACTAGGCAAGAATCAGCCTAGCGTACGATGCTCGAGAGACATGGTACGAATTCAAGATAAAGCAGCAGAAGTAGATTTCATTGATTAGTTATACGGTAAAATTAAAGAATTTCTCTTAGAGTACCGAGTTCTAAAGATCTTTTGCTGAGGCATGTAAAACCCTGTTGAAGATTGAAGTGTGGCTATCGAATTTGAAAGTTTCTACAGTAATGCATTCATGCGAACAAATGTAAGAGAGAAAAAGCACAAAATCACATCCCAGTCCCTGTAGCTATAATGACGGAGAAGCAGGAGATATATACACAGAAGTAGGAACCTTCGTATCACCGCCCAAACTCGACGAAGCAAGCAACGCCTCAGCCTCATCAGCAAGAAAAGCCGGGTTGATCTCAAATCGTGGATCAAGCCAAAAAGCATTCGGGTCCTTGTCTGCAATCATTTTTTTAATAGTCTTCGGCTTCTTGTGGCCTCCCGCATAAAATATGGCCGCGCGTATAGCCCCAAAGACGGAGACGAGCGAATACAACTGCTTGTACAAAGGATACGTCATAGCCGCCCAGAATCGCGGTTGGAGATCAGGCCGGTGTCGTGCGTTGAAGTACTTGAATGCGAGAATGGGAAGGGTAGCGGCAAGCATGAGGGGGAGGCCCAGGCGCCAGAAGTTCGTGTTGGATCCCATTGTGACGAATACGGGTACACGGACCCAGTCGACGACGATGGTAGCGATGGAGTAAAGGTGGATAAACTTTTGAGTGAATATGCCCCAGGGTGTTGTTTGACCGTTGAGGGATAGAAGCATGCGATCTGCAAAGGCGATGAGACGGCCATGTCGACCCATTTCCCAAGAGCGATAGCGCTGGTTCCACCAGTTGAGGCCGGGGCCGAGAACGGTCGTGGGCACCTCAGTCTCAAGCACGCAAGTCGCATCGAATGCGATGCGCTTCTTCATGCGCTGCATCGAGAGACCGGTATTGACGTCTTCGGCGATAAAGTCTATCGAGTGGTAGTTGCTGATGAGGTCGATCAAGGTCTCTCTTTCACAGAACCATCCTGCACCATGTGGGTATAACACACCGCATATAGAGGACTCGGCAAGCTTTGTAAGACCAGACATTTTGTATTCGCAGTCTTGCCATGCTACGAGACACATTGATACGTCTCCGTTTGCATCAACTGCCTTGAGTGGGAATGCGCAGCCTTTGGTAACGTCGTCCATCTTGTCAATTGGAGCACGGAAGTTGGCTGGGATGGACACATCGTCATCGACTGTCATGATCCAGTCATGGTCCTTAGCAGCCATTGCTCCGACAAGTTGTGCCGCATTCTTGCTGCCAATCGGGGACCAAATGTAGTTTATATCGGGGTGTTCACTGCGAATGAACTTGCGGAACTCGGGCGACGGAGGGTGTCTTGAACAACCATTGTCAACGACAAATATGTCTTGTGGACGAAAGTGAACAAAGGCACTCTTGAGGACTTTGCTTGTGGCTTCGTGGTCGCTGTTGTGGCATGGGATGACCAATGCTGTACGGTGATTGGATGGAGTCTCTACGCTGCTAGTCACTTTCTCGATGTCAATTTCGACATTCGAGGCAGACTTCTCAGCAGATGGTCTAGGGTTCGGATCGAAGGGTGGGACGCGCGCGACGAGAAGAATGATTGTGATCATGATTGGCTCGAGGCCAAGGACGATGATAAGAACTGGCAGCATGTTACTCCTAGTGATCTCCATTGACTTCTTGAGCCAACCGAAATAGTGGTCGGAAATAGCAATGCCGACGGCCAGTGTAGCGACCAGGAAGAGTAAAATGTACTTCTTCCAGGTGAATGGCCAAATCACCTCCCGTATATCGATCATTTGCCAGATAGTCCCAGGATGGACATGGTTGAAGACTTTCTGCTTGGTATTAGACAGTAAACGGAAGACTGCTCCTCTTCGGTCTCGTTTGGGGGCGCCTTGTCGAAGTGGTAGCGATTCGCTGCTGGAAAAAGCCGAGCTTGTTGCTGAAGAACCAGGTGTACCATATGGGTACTGTGAAGGTGGTTCATTGAAGTTTGCGATAGAATTTGAAGAGTTGTATGAAATAAAAGCAGGTCTTGGTGGGGATAGCTCTTCTTGTATAGAGATGAGAGTTTCTGATGAATTTGTTTCAGGATTTGCAACTCGACTGGGTATGTCAAAATCGAATACCGGAGCGGCAAGAATTCGTGATATTTCGTCCACGTCTTCTCTACGTACGAAAGATATCCCAGCCATTTTGTGGTCAAAAAAGAGAGATGATAGTAGATAATAGTATTGATACTAGAAGCGAGCGTAGTACCTTGCATGAGGGTACATGAAATCGTAATGAATACAGTCTCTCGTACTTTTGAAGACTGTGGGATTATTCTCTCTCGATCTAGAACACTATTCCAGACTATCGATTTTGAATTGCTATACCAGCGCGTCAGTAACTCGAGGTCTTTCGAGTTCAGCTTCAAGCCACAAATCGTGCTCTAGATTTCTGCAGACTCCAATACGAAGTCCCAGTTTCACTCAATACATCCGTTTCGAGAACTTGGTTTCTTTTTTAGCCTCATCGTCTTCAGGTGTGATTACCGCTGCTCAGCTCGATGTCTTTCGTGGCTTACTGTTGTAGATCGACACAGCGAGCTGTAGCCGAGACGATGGCTGAATAGTCTAGGCATCCACCGACTCTCTCGTTTACCAATTTTGATTGTTGTCCATACCAATACAGTAAAGTACCGGTTACCTAACAGTACGTTTCTCAATGATTTGCGGCTTTCGCCTTCTCGGAATAGGCGAAAGGAATACAAATCCCCCTGCATCTGCGCGGTGCCTGGCATACATCACCTATCTGGCTTACAGTTGGTCACTAAGCGAGAGGCAAGGCTGAAAAAGTAAAGCCTGTTGTCTATTTTTGTTGCGTAAGCAGAACCTCCACGTTACTGGCACGTCAATATGTAACGTGGCTTTATTATGAGGGCTAATTTGCAGTGTAACCTGTTGTTTAGGGCGTTTGGGGGGACAAAATATCTGTACATGGCAACTTCTGGGCGATCCATACGTAGAGATTCAGATGTCTCAGATGCTGTGAGAGACTTGCTCATACCAAATTCATGCTTCATTGAATGGGTTAGTAAACGACGAGCTGGATTGCTCCAATTCTGTTCACGAATGAGCGACGAGATGGCTCAATGGGATTTGAAATAATTTTGTGCAGATAGCAGAAAAGCTTCTCCGCGGTGCACGCTCCTGTGAGTACGAGAGGTTTGATCCGTTATGGACTATACCAAGCATGGAAAGGTATACAATGATGGAGTGGTGGCACATTATGCTTGCGCCGATTCAACAATCACCTTTGCTGCCCTAGATCTATACCGTCTATGGAAATATCTCAGCTGTTCCTGCGGCTCAATTAGGCAATTTGTGATCTGGAAGAGTAATTCGACGTTTCCCGAGCAGATGTGACGCCTCGCACCCGTGTCTTGGAGGCAGCCAGGCTGCCCGATGTGGAAGCCATTCTGGAGAGACTGTATATTCAATCTGAAACTAGCTGATGTTCGACATGTTCAACAAGCCATGTAAGAATTGGATGCATCGAGAGCATCTATAGTTGTTGATGAGAGTTGTGGATACTTAAAGCAAGCAAGATTCTGCACTTAGGATCAGCAACCACCATATGCCCAAATTTCAAAATGTCTTACTTTGAGACGCGCTCTTCTGCCTCTTCTGAGAACTCCACACCATGCTCACCAGCATTCAGTATTTCATCAGTGTACAGCACTCCCATCTCTGAGATCGATGAACTACAGTACTCCAGCTTGACAGTGTCTAGTCTTCGTCAATCGAGACATGTGCTAGTTATTGGCGGGCTTGGTTATATCGGCAGTCATACATCGTTGGAACTCCTTCGAGCAGGTTCTAGTGTTGTGATCATAGACAATCTCGACAACTCATACATGACGACACTAGACTGGATCAAAGTACTAAGAGACGACTACTACTCAGCCAGTTTGTTGAGTCCATCGCTTATGTTCCACGAAGCCGACTATCGGGATGTGGACGCTATGTCTACTATTCTTCATCAGTATGGGGCTGGATCAGCCAGCTCGGTAATCGAAGGCGTCATCCACTTTGCTGCGTACAAGGCTGTACCCGAAAGCATTCAGCAGCCACTCAGGTACTATTTCAATAATGTGTCTGGAATGGTCACCTTCTGCTCGCTATTGGACAGTCTTGACATCAAAACGCTGATCTTTTCCTCGTCAGCAGCCGTTTATGGAGAGGTGACGTCCGAAATTGGGCTGCGCATTAGCGAGAATCATTGTGTCCATGAAACTCGTGAGTGGACCAGGATGGATGGGAAGACCCAAGTCACAAAAGGTGGCTGTACAGCAATCTCCAATCCCTACGGCCGGACCAAGTGGATGTGCGAGGCTATTTTGAACGACTTGGCGATATCTGACCCAGAGTGGCGCATCGTGGCTTTGCGATACTTCAACCCAATTAGCTGCGATGCGTCCAGGAAGCTAGGAGGACCCGAAGACGGAACCGAGCAACCTAATGCCTAGCTTACTGCGGGCCATGGATAGTCGGATGTCACACCTCAAGATATATGGCACAGATTGGGATACCAGGGACGGAACTGCAACGCGAGATTTCATTCATGTCAGCGATCTGGCATTGGGCCACGTTGCAGCCCTCAAAGCGGTCGATGAGTCGCGGCTGCGACGCGGGTCGCTCAATACGTTCAACCTGGGCACGGGAGACGGCAATTCGGTCAAGGAGATCGTGTCAGCTATGCAAACATGTTCGGGAAGGACTATCCCCACAGTGGAGATAGGGCGGCGCGCTGGTGATGTGGGGGTTGTTGTGGCGGATCCCACGAGGGCAGCGGAAGAACTTCAGTGGAAGACGAAACGCTCGATCGATGATTGTTGCAAGGATCTTTGCAGATTTCTTCAAATCGATGATTGCAGAGCAAAGCCACAATATAGTTGATATTCTAGGTTTGGAGTGATTCGTTGCTAACGGATATTGGGGAAAAAATTAAAACTTAGCGCCTTGTTTCGAACTTCTTGCCAAGGCGGCATTTGTATGCCGAGCGTGAATATCATTGGCTTTCCTTGATGCAGCGCTACTACCATACCGCCAGTTCCTCTGGTACTATTTCTTCCTCCGCTGTCGTGATGAACTATGAAAGATCTAGAAACGCCACACTGCTGTGCCACTGTCCAACCAACAGGAGTCTCCCGGGTTGAGTCTGAGTGTTTAAGCGCCTTGTTTATTTTCGACACTAACGCCAGGGAGCTACCCAAGTAACATGGAGTCCATTTGGTTAGCTACAGAATTTGTAGCTCATCTCCATTCTTAGCCCTTATAGCTGCTAAAAGCTGGTAATTCCATCCGTGCAGTAGCCCCAATTACCAAAACTCCGAATCAAACTTTCGCCATGTTCACCACAGCCACACTTCTGTTGGCCCTCGCCATACTTAATTTCCTCTCTAAGGTGGCTGCAGAGGATTGTACTGTGTTCTCCACCAATGGGTCAACTGCAGCGACGTACGACTTCTATCGTTTCTACGATTTTCGGAACCTGGATGAGAGCCTGGTTGGCAATGCGGATACAGTACCCGACAGTGGCGATAAGCAGTCGATAACAGTGACATCTAATGGACAGTCGAAGATCATTGCTGCTTCTCCTTGGGGCACTGGTTGGGATGCTCGGTATTGGTTGAGGCCAGCAGCGAGAGAAGACACTATTGACATGCACTACACGCCATCGAGTGTATCAATAAGTAGGTTGTCGGACTTGTGGTTCTGGTTGATTTTAACGAGTGATAGGTAAAAACAATGATGGACCGAAAGAATCCTCTACCTACCTTACTCTTCACACGATACGGCTGCTCAATGGTACGCAATTAGCATCTGAGCTGGACTTTATCGAGCATAATGTCACATATGCCTCGATACGTATGTCGGCGCGCATACGTGGCGCAGGTGGTGCAATTGCCGGCTTCTTTACGTACCACAACGACACAGCAGAGTCGGACATAGAAATTCCAACTGGGGGCACTGGCAACGAAATACATTACTCGAATCAGCCTACCGCAGATCCTGATACTGAAGTACCAATAGAAGATGCAACATTCAACGTCTCAATGAAAGATCATCGACCTACTTCTGTCTGGAACAACTATCGATTGGACTGGATACGTGGGGGTAGCGCATGGTACGTCAATGGTAAACAAACAGCTAAAACTAGTGTGAACGTGCCGGATGCCGAGAGTATGATTATACTGAACCTTTGGAGCAATGGCGGAAGCTTTTCGGGACGAATGGATACTGGGAATGAAGCCTGGTTCGATATTCAGTGGGTTGAGCTGCTGTTCAATACCACTGCTACCACTGCGGCAAAGTCTAGTGGCACCGTATGCTCGGTGGAGTCTTCTCCAGGATCTCCAGTCCCGAATACTTCCTGTTCTCTATATGAGAAGGCTTCGGAACATTTTTGGTGGGTTGTCGGCCTGGTATCGATCGTAACATTTGTACAATCTATGTGATTTATGGAGACGCCGACAGTCAATCCATTTTGAATTTGGCTTTACAGATATAACAATCAAGCGGTTCAATCTAAAGTAGGAGGACATGAAAATACAAAGATCGCTGTCAACGAAGCTGTGGGAACGCGGTGGTACTGAAGAAATAGGTACTGAAAAAGAAGTTGGCTATGGACGTTACGAAGAAGCGGCTAGTTTGAATCCTGAACTGTTGGGCGATGCAGCGGACTTGATGTCTGTTTGGTTTCACAAACAGATGACTTGTGCAACACTCAATCATTTGAGTATTGGTTAGTCTCCGCGGCACCAATGGATCCGCCGCTGGCTCTTTTCTTTCAGTATCCTGAGTAACTGATGTTACTGAACCAATCGCAAGGAGTATCGCAAAGCCCATTCTTACTTTCAATGCCATTCCCTTGTGATTGGTGGGCCATGGCCACTTCATGTCGGCCTAGTAGTGCCTTGGCACTTTGCGTGAGGATGAGGTAGCCTTGCGGCGTTATCACACCAAACGACCTTCCCCGCACTCTAACAGAAAACTTATTGTGTCTTTGAAGTCACATCGGCAATTAAGTACACTCACATACCTCATACGCCTCACACAGCTTGAGCTTTGGCAGTGCGTAATTCGTGGCCAGCCAGCCTTGCACTCTTTCTTGACTTCCCACGATGGCGAAGATGTTGCAACAATCTCCTCTAGCAGCAATTAAGAAGTAATTAAATTCTATAAAATTTCGAACACGCTCGGCTAATACACAAACAGGTGTCTGGATTCAGGTGAATATTCGGATCTCACCATCACATGTGGAAACGACGTATACAAGGTGCACAAGATGATACTCTGCACCCAGTCTGACTTCCTCGCAGGTGCTATAAGATTCCCAGGCAAAGTACGTCGTTCTGAGACTTTCTGGAATTTACTAACAAGAACAGGAATCTGAGCAGGCAAACATCAATCTCCCTAACGACGAGCCCGCAGTCGTGAAGTTGGGGGTGAAATATCTTTACACCGGCGATTACACATATGACCCTCAAGAGCTGCCTAAACCTTCGAGTCTTGTTCTCGCTTTATGGGAAAAGCCGTCCCACAATGAAGAGGGTGAACCCTACACATACGACTTTCCACACTCGTGTTGTGATAGGGGACGGAAGACACAATGTCCTCCGCTCTGTCCTCATCACCAGTGCGGAGCTGGTGTCTGTGATAACAAATGCTTCGAATTTGTATGCGGTTCCTGTGAGGACGGCGATTACAGTCCTTACAGTACTACCAGATCTTTAGCCGAAGATCTCCTGGTTCACACAAAGATGTATGAGATGGCTGATAAGTACAACATCGCGGGTTTCAAAAGAGAAATTCAGGTACGGGTGTGAGAAATATTGGAATTCCAATGCATTCCCAGTTGCTGCAGAGTATGCGTTCTCAACAACAATGGAAGAAGACGAAGGACTGAGAGATATCGTCATTGCCGCCATCGCTAAGCATAGAAAACTCATACATAAGCCACAAATTCAAGTGCTTATGAAAGAGTTTAGCAGCCTGGCTCTTGGGGTCTTGTTGAAGAAGGAAAAAGAGTATCGCTGGTTGGAGGACGAGAAGAGTTGGGGTCACTCTGCTTGGGGAGCTAGCGTGTCACTACAACACTTACCATCCGCCAATTGAGACGCTACAAGAATAACAGTGGATACGAACACGTAAGACCACGCGGCACTTCCTTGTCTTCCAATTTTCCATGCAATCTCCCCAGCAAGTAAAGTTTAAACTTCAACCTGCCTGAGTATAGCGTCTTGGCGTAAGCCTTCATAGATACCTCACACCACCAGAACAATCAACTTTGATTTTGTATATTCCGTTTTACTTGTTTAGTATTTCTAGCAATTCCACCCGGCGTATCCTCAAGCATTAGTATGGCTTCAGAGGCCGAAACCCAGATTTTGGGCTCAATCAAAAGGTACTACATTCATTTCTTTCCTCTCCCCTATACACCGTCACACAACGGAACCTCACCTAACCATATCATACCAGCTCTCTGATATCAGGCCTCTACTCCGACCTCAAAATAACCTGCGGCCCAGACTCCTACAACGTCCACAAACTCATCGTCTGCCCCCGGGCTGAATTCTTCACCAGAGCCCTCAAATTCGGTGGTCAAGTCTGTACAATTACCCCATGGAAAAAACCCATCATCACGTGAAACATCCACAGGCCAAAAACTAACCCGAACCAAAAAAAGGAAACCTCTACAAGCGAAATCAACCTCCCAGAAGATGACCCGGTAATAATAAAACTCCTCCTTCAGTACCTATACGAAGGCGACTACCAGCTCCCCGCCTCCCCTTCCTCTGCAAAACCCGCCATCACTCCTCCTCCTCCCATCAATCCAAACCTCCCAACCCACACCCCCTCGGGCCTCCCTTACACCTACGACTTCCCACACACCTGCCGCGCGCCCTTGACCCCCCACTTCCTCTGCCCACACCACACCTGCATCTACGCCACGTCCTCGTCCCAACCAGGCGCATGCAGCTACACCTGCCGCTCCTTCACCTGCCCCTTGTGCACCGCAGCCCCACCATCACCATCACCATCATTACCACCACCACCACCACCGACCTACGCCGGCGCACCCGCAGACCTCCTTCTCCACGCCCAGCTCTACGCCGTAGCCGAAAAGTACCAAGTCAGCGGTCTGAAACCCCTCGTGACGCGCAAGTTCTCGACCGCCTGCGCCGTCTTCTGGCGCGAAGCGCACGAGTTCGTGGCCGCTGCACGAGTCGTGTTTGAAAGCACGCCGGACAGCGATTGCGGCCTGCGCGGCGTGGTTGTTCAGACGCTGTTTGACCATTTGCCCGACTTGATTGCCCGCCCGGAGGTCGAGGCGTTGCTCGTCGACAAGGCAGAGGTCGCCCTGCGCTTGTTGGAGATGACGGTTGCCAAGCGGCCCGAGGCGTGTGCCTGTGTGCGTACGCCCCCGAGCTCGTTGGGGTCCACGACGCCAGCGACCGAGGCGGATGGCTTGTCAGAAGCTATGATATCGCCCATGTAGATGTGGCGAGACGTGGGATGTTGGTATCGGGAGAATGGGCGTTAGTGGTATTTCTTTTTTTTTGTCTCTTTCTTTTAGAATCAAGAGTTCGATTGTGTTTTTTTTTTTTCTTTAATGGAGGGGAGGCGCAGCGAAAGGCGTGGGTTTTGGCCGTAGAAGGGGGGAGGGCATGTAGAATAGATTACTAAATTACTATGTACTTTTTATTCATTTCTATTCCCCCCCTTTCCTAGAAACACAAAACCTACACCCACCATCTATTCATACATACTATATATATCTTGCTCTTACACTCCTTTCTACTCCAAGCCTCCTAGAAAGACCAAGTCCTCACATTTCCCTTCGCCCCCCCCTTTTTTTTTTATCCAAATCTCTTGAAAAACATTTTCTCTACTTCAATCCCCCCAAACATAGCATCCCCTTATTGTCCGAAAAAAAAAACTTCATAAATTCCGCATTGTTCAAAAGAAGACGGCCAAAGTAACAAAAGGTGATGACTACAATAAAATGATAAAATACACCCAAATATGCAGATACATGTGTTGCACTGAAAAAAAAGGAGGCGGGGTTATACAGTTACTCTGTTTGAATGGAGCGGGTTTATTTTTTTTTCCCTAGATTTGTAAGTTCAGAACTGGTCCCACAAGAGAGTGAAAAGGTAAGATTTTTTTTAAAAAAAAACGCTTACGGGCAGAGAGCAGGAATTAATTGGGAGGGACAAAATGGGGGGAAGGGTGGTTGTGGGAAGAAAGGAAAAGCTCGAGGAAGAACAGAGAAAGCAAGGAAAATGGCATAAACCCGCTATAAAAAAAATGCATTTAAACAAAGACAAAACGCTAATTCCAGCCTCATATTTCTCATCAAATCCAAGTGCACGCATGTTCCCCCGTCATATCAAACAATCGTAACCCAACCCATGCCTCTCTCAATCAACCCTCTCCCCGAATTTGGTACAACCAAGTCTCAAACATCTACAACCTAACCTCACCAGCCTGCCTCTTAATCCCAAACTTGCTCAGCCGAATTCTGGGCACCACACCAACCAGCACAAGAACACTGGCGGTAATCACCGCCCAATGCTGCATATGCCCAACATAGATATTGTACGTGGTCCACGTAGCGGCGCAAATAGTAGCTAGACCCAGCACAGCAATAAAGTAACCCGAAAGGCGATGATACTTGTAGATGCTCTTAGCATTCTCGACACTGCCATATAACTGCGGCACGTAGTACTGGGTGAAGCCGACGAGGGCCTGGAGGTAGACAAGGACGTAAAAGGCGAGGCCGAGGCGGGCGTGTGCAGAGGCAAAGTGCTCGTGGCCGGGACCTTGCTTGTTAATTTCGATGATGATGAGGCCGGCGGTTAGGGCAGATGCGCCGACGACGTGGAAGAGGAAGTGGGCAAGTGTGCCGGCGCGCTTTTGGTCGGGCGTGTGCGTGGGCTGCAGGATGAGGGCTGCTTGGATGGCGAGGAGGAAGCCGGCCTATGGAGAGGTATCAATGATACGGTTGTCGCGAAGGGGTTACTAGGGTGGTGCCAGGGTAGCTTACAGAGTTGAGAAGCTGTTGGCGGGCCGTGGTTAGCTGGTTTGCTGGGAAAAGAGGCTTTGTGTTTAGGGCGGCTTACCGGATGCGCGGAGAAGAAGATGAGCTTGTTGGAGAAGATGGCTCCCCAGACTATGGCGGCGAGGATCCAGATGCCGGCTTGGGCGATGGGAGCAGTGCCTGTGCAATTGGTTAGCAGCCGTCGCGCCTCGCAAACCTTGCCAGTAGCTTCACATACCAATCCACAAGTTGTGATAGAGCGGCTGGCCCTGCATCTGACTTGCATCGCCTCTTCTGCCGAGGAGCGGTTCTTCTTCGCTCTGGCCGCGCGCGGCAGCGGAAGTAGGCGGGATTCCGGTTGCAGAAGCCATTTTGAAGCGCGTAGAATGAAGAGCAGTATCACTGCAAATCCCGGCGTACGACAGCGGAAGAGAAGAGAGGAAGAATCAATGTCAACGCGCGACGGGAACCCAAGGGAAGCGTCGGACTTTAGAGCATCTTAGCAGCTCATGCCGAACAATGACGACACCAGCATCCCTGCACAAATCCACCAATGAGCGTGGTCTGCATCTAAGGACGTTGACCGCCGCAGCCAATAGGGGCCAGGATGACAGCCTGCAGCACAAGTGGTGATGTTTGCATCGCTGCTTTTGGGCGAGGACGAGGCCGTCTTTGGATGCGGCATGCCTGTCTAGCCTGTCACATAGTGGTCGCGTGAAACTGATGCATGCATACACATACAACTGGCATGCATTCCCCGGTACGCCCAGTCGGCACTACAAAGCTTAATGCGCCGAAGAAAAATATCAGGTAGGCTGGTATTGCCAATTCCCAAGTATACATCTTTTCCCTCTCCGGCCATGTCTCTGCGTCCTATATTGTACAAGTGTGCGCCCTCTGCGTGGCGCGGCATTGTATCGTAACCGTCTCGTCCGCATCTCAATGGTAGTCCTACCCTTTGCCCCAGGTACCCATTATGCCAATAGCAAGCAATCGCTCTTCACTTCCCTCCATCTTTCCAAATATCCATACGCCGTCAAATGCCCATTGCATTCATATCGAGAAGAAGAAAAAAATCCGTCCACTCCAATCAAACGTAAGGGAATACATCTTGACGCGGAAAATATGCAAGCGTTATACGCGTCTAATGCACCCATAACAAAAAGTCATCAATAATTCTTGCCAGTCCGCCAGAACCATCTACTGTCTCCAATTGCGCCGTTCGCTCATGCTAATAGGAGCAATTCTGAGGTCCATGCCCTAATAATGTATGAATGTGAGTGTATATGTGTGTGTGCGTCGAAATTAAAAAAAGTTAAAAAGTAGCTGCTCTCACTTCTTCTTCATCAGAGCAGGCGGTTTTGAAGGGTCGGCTGGATCCAAGAACGTGGTCATGGCAATAGAAAGCTCCTTGAACTCGACCGGTTTCGTCACGTACGAGTTGAATCCCGCTTCCGCGCACTTTGCATACACATCCCCAAGGACGTTTGCCGATAGCGCTATAATCGGGTGCCGACGGTACCCATGCTTCTTCTCCCAACGTCTGATTTCTTTGCAAGCCTGATAGCCGTCTTTGTTGGGCATATGTAGATCACACTGCAACCTCGTTAGCTCAACTCACACTCGTGACGTGTCTATCTGCTTACAAGTACAATCGAGTAATAACCCGCCGGCTTGGAGAAGATGGCTTCTGTCGCCTGAACTCCGTCAAGAACAGTTTCGGTCGCAATGTCGATTCTGGCCAGGAATTTCAGGATGACCTAAATAGGTTAGCATCAAGTCATTACGAGGGCGCTGTTTGTATCTACTCACAGTCTGGTTGATCTTGTTGTCCTCAACCAACAACACTTTGTGGTTCTTACCGCCAACCCTTCGTTTGAGCTCTTCAAACACAAGCTTTTGACTGACAACAACCTGCTGCGCGCTGTCCTGGTTTCGATCGGTACTTGACTCGCGTTGCTTCTGTGGATCAAATATGATTGCAAATTTCGATGGCTTGAGAGGTCGATACACAAATTCCAGACGGCGGTCATTGTGGAGTTGTTCATAATCATACACTGGCGCCTCCTTCATGAGTTCCTTCTTCTGCGAAGGGTCAGACACTATGACGACCGACGTGTTGCTGTAAGCCGTGGAGCTAAAGATCTGATCAACAATAGCATGCACTTCAGCAGTGTCATGCAACACAAGCACAACGTGGGTGAACAAGACTGGGTTCTCACCACCCATCATCTTCTGAGCACCAATGATACTCGGCTGCCCAGTGACTTGGTGAGGGATTCCCTGAGGTAGCGTGTTCTTGATATGCCTTATTGTGGCTTCCCTGCTGTGTTCAAGAGGACACACCACCAAGATTGAGTACATAGGAGGCTGCAGGGAACTGCCCAACGGAGAAAGACTGCGGTGCGGTGAGCCCGGACGCACAGTCTCATCCGAGTCAACAGAAGTGCTCGATTCGCCTGGTTGAGTTTCTTGGTCGCTGTTAGTTCGCTTTGGAGGCAAGGCCAGATTCATGTTCGCATTCGAGGCTGGGTTGGTTTCGTGCATATAGGACGACGCGGATGACCTTTCTGATCGCAGGCTCGACTGTCCGGTCAGTGCAGAGCTTGTCAAGGAATGGTCCGAACTGCCAGAAGAGAGCGCAGGAGAGTCTCGTGAACGTTCAGAGGCGGTCACGCTAAGCACGGGCGACTTAGCCGACTTAGCCGACTCACTCTTCTCCGACGAGACGCTCGAGACGCGCTTCAAAGGCACATAACCAGGATTTTGCGATTGCACAAACTTTTGTAGAGCCGATGGCTGGAGCTGCGGCAGGTTGGCTGGCGGGGGAGCAATCGGTGGCTCGAAGGCGGGTGTTCCCGGTGTTGACACCAGCGGCTTGGGATAGTCGTCTGCAGTAGGGAGGCCAAACTTGATCGTGAAAAAGAAGGTTGAACCCTTGCCTGGCGCGCTTCGAGCATCCATTCTGCCACCATGGAGTTCGACAAATTGCATAGAAATAGCCAGTCCAAGCCCGGTGCCACCGTGTTGTCTTGTACTGCTCGCGTCAATCTGACTGAATCGCTTGAACAGATACTTGGCCTCGGCGTCTGTGAAGCCTTGACCAGTATCTACCACTTCAAATCGGATCATCGTCTCATTTTCCTTTAGTGGCCGAGATCGATCGGACGGCTGCAGTTTACACCGTATGAAAATCTCTCCGTGCTCGGTGAACTTGATCGCATTCCCAACCACGTTAAGCAGGACCTGCCTAATGCGGAACTTGTCGCCTTTGACTTCTGCTGGTACCCCTTCGTCTACCAGATAATTGAGCTCGAGGCCTTTCTGGATGGCGAGACCCATGTTGAGGTCATTGACTTCCTCGAGAAGAGACGGCAGATGAAGCCATTCCATGGAGAGCTTGATCATTCCAGCTTCAACCTTGGATAGATCGAGAATATCGTTGATGAGATTGAGCAAACTGTCGGTGCTGGCTTTGATGATGTTGACGTGCTCCAGTTGCTCGGTGTTGAGGACGCTATCCAGAAGGAAGTTGACCATTCCTGAGATACCATTAAGTGGTGTTCGGATCTCATGCGACATGTTGCTCAAGAATTTTGATTTTGCGTCCATGGTCTCTTTGAGCGTTTGCTCCAGCAACTTGTGGTCGTTGATGTCTGTGGCTGTTCCATACCACGTCTCTTCGTCACTAGTTTCCGCAAGCGATTTCTCCAGCAAGATTCTCACAAGGTGCCATCTGTAGTCGCCATCCTTGTTGCGAAGTCTGACCTCAGTCGAGTAAGACGCCCGTCCGTGGGCATCTTTAACAACCCTCAGTATACCAGTGCTTGCCAGTTTGGATAGCTTGGCTTGAGGCAAGTCCATCCTATCAGGGGATGAGCCACTGGGACTGGTAATGGTTCTTTCCGTTTCTGATGAAGCGTCAGAAGCATTCGAGTCTTGTTGTCCCTGCTCAGCTGGCAAAGTCGTAGGAACATTAGCAACGCCATGCTCATCTAGTTCTGGAAGCTTGCACTTGATGACATCGTCGGGATGGACGTGCTCAAGGAAACCATTGCCGAGGGCCTGACTCTCACTTTGGCCAGAAAATGAAATCCACTGCGAGTTGCAAAAGGTCAGACCCCTACGGTCTGACACGACAAATACAATCTGAGGACTCGAGTTGGCCAGCGCGCGATACTTGGCTTCTGAAGCAGCCGTCTCCTGTTGGCGAGCTGAGTTCTGTTCTGCAATATGTTGTTCGTGAAAGTCCATGTTGGTGCCGATCCAGTGCACAATCTGCTGGCGCTTGTTCCTCAATGGCGCCACTCGAACATAAAACCATCGATAGCACTCATCGAAGCGCTGTAGTCTGACCTTCATCTGCAGCTGCTGGCCAGTTCGCAACGATCTACTCCATTCATCCAAATATGCATCGCGGTCTTCGGGATGAATTGAATCCCATGGGTTTTGCAACACTTGGCGTGAGGTTTGACCACGGTAAATGAGGAATTTGGAGTTTACCCAGCTGATTGCTCCCGTGTTGGGTGCGGCAGTAAATATCTGAACTGGCAAAGAATCGATAATAGTCCGAAGCAAACTCTCGGAAGGAGGTGGCATCTCCGAAGATTCAGTGACAGACATTGTCCTTAGACTGCCTTGGGGCACTTGCGGTCGCCCTCCGGGTGTGGTCGCAGCCGGGAGCGATTGGAATGACGAGCTAAAATCTGCACCATACGAGTGAAGGAATGAGTGACCACGTTTAGTAGTATCTTGCGCTTGTGCATATCGGGGGCTCGACACTTCGTCCTTCTTGTCCTCACGTGGCTTTGAGGGATCTTCCTTGACGTTTTCCGCCACCGGATTCACGGTAACTCGTTTCCCAGAGCGTTTATCGGTTTTTCTTGAACTTTGTTCTTGTGAATTTGAGGCAGCATTGTGGTTGGTCTTGTTAGCTTGCCTCCTAGCGTCAAAGTAGCTTTCCACAGCCTCGCTGCCAGCAAGATGACCAGGCGTGCCACTGTGCGAGTGCCTACTGGAGAACCCCAGCGAGGTGTCCCAGCCAGGCGTTCCGGCAATCGACCCTCCTGGACTGTGTCTAGAGCGACTGGAGTAGTCGGATGGACTAGTGACGCTACCTGCCGCAGAGTTGGCGATGTCTCCCAGATCAAGATGAAGCAAATCTTCAAGACTGTCAGAATCCGAAGACATGGCCATCCCTCCGGCACCACCAGTAGCAGCTCTTCGTTGTCGGATAGAGGCGACCTGAGTCTGAGCATTGGTGAAATGCCATGCATTCGAAAATGAGGTGGCTAGGTGAGGGCCCAGGTGCTTGAGAGAGTTAGTCAAGTTTCGTGGATATGGCACGATGGGTGAAAGCAGTGAAAGAATGGCAATGGGTGCTTTCCGCACAAAGTCGCCCTGGTGGAATGAAGTGCCCACAGACTGCTCAGACTGTCTTCGTGACATTGCAGGTG